GAATCAAATGTGAAAATGTAACTCTAAATAGAAACATGATAGTTTCTGATCGTTTGTCTCTGCCGGGAATATTGGTGCGGTTTCATTATTGGCCATAACTCACACATTCAAACAATCCTAATATTTTCACTTTTTTACTAATGTCTTTTATTCCATGAAAATGTGGCTTTCCTTTTGACCCTACTGCTTATATGAATAAGAGCGAGATCCTACATTCACTCCTAAGTTCTAGCTAGCTTTGCTCTGGCCCAAAGCCTCAGCGATGTAACCCTTAACTAGTTACAGAGATTTAAAAATATGTCCACAAATACTTAGACATTCCTCTTTCCAAGGGAAGAGCCTCATTTCTTTCCTTTCAGTGGGGCTGCTCTAGTGACTCACTTGAATGAGGAGAATGCTATGGAAGTGACAGTGTGATTTGTGAGTCCAGGACATAAAAGCAAGGTGGCTTCTGTGTGCCCTCTAGGACCAGTCCCTGGGGAAGCCAGCTGCCACGTCATGAGGACACTCAGAGAGCACGGAGGGGTCTACCCGGTGAGCAACTGGTCTTGGGCAAGCCTTCGGATGACGACGGCAGCTCTGACATCCTGACTACCACTTCTGAGCAAACTGCAGCCAGAACCACCTAGAACTGCCCGCTCCTGAATTCTGGACCCACGGAAATCACATGAGACGGTTGTGGCTATTTTAAACTGCTGAGCGGAAGGGTACTTCATTTTGCTGCAATAGGTAACTAACACTCTAGCTTTCTCACAAATACATACCTCTACATGTAAAAGCACAAGGGGAGAAGAGGACGCTGGCATTCACAGCATCAGTAGGACAGTCCCGAAGGCAAGTGAGGCTACATCTTACAGCTTCATTCTTGCTGAAATGCTCCTATCTTGGCAGTTGCTGGGGCTAATATCTTAACTCTGGCGTTTTTAAGTAGCTTGGCTTATCTGTGGTTGACTGTGCGCGAGGTACAGATTATGCTGGGTCAACAAGGGTGACTAATCAATTACATGAAGGTGTGGTTTTTGGCTCGGATTCTTAGTCAAAGAAAAATACATCTACTCTACTGTGCTATTCCCAAAAGCCCATGCCAGACTAAGACAAACTCTAGCAAAGCAACGTAAAGACGTGTGCGTGTGGTTTGGTTCAGGTAGCTATTGAGGAGACTGAAGATCCAAAATAATGGTTTGGAGTCGTTACAAACACCCATATGTTCCAGTTTTAAAATCTAAGTAGTCTGGGGCGCCGGGGTGGCCCAGTCCTTAAGTGTCTGCCTTCGGCTCAGGTCATGATCCCGAGGTCCTGGGATGGAGCCCCACATCCAGCTCTCTGCCCAGCAGGAAGCCTGTTTCTCCCTCTCCCACTCTCCCTGTGTTTCCTCTCTCGCTGTGTCTCTATCAAATAAATAAAATCTTAAAAAAAAAAAAAAATCTAGTCGTGGGTGTTTCAGGTATGGTGAAGGGGTTGAGTTGGTTTATACTATTCTAAAACCAAAGCGGATCTTTTTTTCCCTCCTCAAGTTGATTTTCTTCCAGAGTCTCCAATTTGAAAACTTACCTTTTTCTTTGTAAAACATTCATTGTTCTATTAGTCAGCCTCTCAATGTCTTCATGAATAGGGTGCCATAAGGAGTCAACAGTTCCTTTCTCGGGCGCAATCTGGCACAGAGAAAACCTACAGTAAGCGACATGGAGGCTGTTGCCAGCTGGGCTCTCGTTATGGTGCTGGGGTCACCCGAAACATCGTCTGGAGGGAGCTAACGTCTTCTAAGAACTGTGGGCAATGACAATGAGCCTCAGAGAGGGCAAAAATAAATTGTTTTTCCAAGAGAACACCGAGGTGATTACGCACCCCAGAACATCTGAAAGATAAAGACTAAGTTTTATTTCAACTTAAAATAACTCAGTGTATCTTGGGGGGGGGTGACCGTTAAGTGGCACTCGGATCTACAATGACCTTTCCCCTCATCTCAAGGGATTAGCTGGTTGAATTTCAGAAGTTTGAATTATGTTTTCGTTCCAGTTCATAATGTTCTGAAGGGCAGAGCTCGCCGGCCAGCCTGGCATTCCTGCGGGGCCCACTCTGTTCCTGGTTCCCACTTGAGGGCTGCGTTGTCACGCCCGGCCCTCTGGAAGGAGACTGTCGGGCTTTAGAACATACTCCCTTCCCTCCAGCTTCGAACACCTGCGTATCGCAGGCTGACTTGTTTTTAAATGTAGAAGGTAGGAGCGCCTGGGAGGCTCAGTTGGTTGGGCATCTGCCTGCGGCTCAGGTCATGATCCCAGGGTTCTAGGATCGAGTCCCGCATCCTCCCTCTGCGTGCCGCTCTCCCTGCTTGTGCTCTGTCAAATAAATAAATAAAAATCTTTAAAAAAAAAAAAAAAATGCAGGAGGTGGGCTCAATGTTACGGAAAGAAACTCATGCTAGTAGCAAGTTCAAGGATGAACACAAACATTCTCTATATGCCTGTGCACGGGGACACAGGCATATAGAGAATGACACTTTCTCTATTAATAATAATAATATAATTATTAATAATAATTAATAATAATAGACACTCCCTCTACTTTGGGGCTCCTTTTGTTCCAGAAACGCAAGCAAGAACTCTTACTCAATTACATGTTTTGTCAGGACTTTTTCATGACATGACCAGAAAGCTTTACTTTTTAGAAATAAAGATCAATCAGGTCATTAGTTGGCTCTTTTTTTCTTCCCCCAAGTCGTTCAAAAAACCTCAATATTGTAATTTTCAAAATAAGTATTGATCAGAGCAAGGTAAGTAGAATAATTATCTTGCTTTTACTTAACTCTGAAGGTATTTTTATGAAGTCATTCTTCCTGTCAGTTGGTGCCCTAAAAACGCAAGGCTACATTTTCATTATGATAATGTGTGTCCAAATAACTACAAGCAAATGTGAGTAATTCTGGAAGTTAGCTGTTAAACACATGCCTGTATTTAACTATCCCACAAGCTAAAACCAGTTTGCTCTCCCCAAATCATAATGACAAAGCTGATGACCAAAGACTGTAGATCTCATGCTAGCAGAAGGAATGACAATTTGCTCATTTTGTCTTGAATTCTATTTGTACTCATCATTTATCTAAATATTCAGTAGTTGTTCTCCTCCCTCAATCCTATGCTATGGAATTCAAGTAACTTTGGACTTTCCCTGCTCTGTACTTTGTCCCGGAAGTCTGTGTAGGACACTCGTCTGTCCATGGGACACCTGAGTGGCTCAGTTGGTTAAGCGTCTGTTTTCGGCTCAGGTCATGATCTCAGGGTCCTGGGGTCAAGTCCTGCGTAGGGCTTCGGGCTCAGCGGGGAGTTTGCTTCTCCCTCTCCCCACACTGGTGCTTTTGCTCAATCGCTCTCAAAAAAAAAAAAAAAAAAGAAAAAAAAAAAGACACCCCATGGTCTGTCTGCTGTGGATGTCGTTAGTTGGTCAGTCCGGAACCTGTGAGACCAGGCCCAGCCCTTCTGCACTCTGAAGGTGCCCCATCCTCCCTTCAGAGGCTGCTCTTCCAGGACATGTCACCAGACACGACACGGGGAGGAGACTGAGCAAGCAGGACACCCTCCCTCCCACCCACCCCTCTGCCTTGGTTTTCCCGCATCAAACACTTCATAATAGCAGCACCCACGGCACCCACTGCTGTGAGGATTAAGCAAGATGACAAAGAGCGAATGCTGGGAACGGTGCCTAGTGCACAGTAAACCCTCAGTGAATGCTGGCTGTTACTACTTCTGTTCAGGCTACATGCATATACATACGAACATGGGGAGTTAGGTCTGTAGCTAGTGGCAGAGTTATTGAAGACAAACCACGGATGTTTTAAAATCTGAATTAGACAGTCTGTATTCTAAAACACACACACACGCACATACACACACACAGACACACAATCTGTACCAATTAAATACAATAAAGTTGAAAGGGGATATAAATTACAGTTTGTTTTTTTAAACAGACAATAGTAAAATACTACAGTCAGCTCACTATACACAAAACCATGAACAGCAGCTTTTCATTAACGTCTCCAAACTCTTACTCGTTTACTGATGCTGAGAACGTAAAGAAAAAGGTACAGCAGGCTGTACTGCTGTACGTCCGCACCAGTTCCACGGGCTTCTACAGACCGGCGCACGAAGGACTCCTGCCGGAATCCCCACACACGTCATCCTCCGATGTCTCCGTCGGCGGGGCGCTCTGTGCTCAACCGTCTGCTGCAACCGTGGTGAAGCGGGCACCTGTGGCCCGCAGAGCTCATCCCAGCTCCTCAGCATTTTCCAGAACTGAAGTAAAATAATTAACAGCAAAACCACACAACGAAACCTACCAATCTGAAGCGGGGGAAAAAAAAAACCAACAATACACCCCACAAAAAGACAAAAAATCAACATCCCTTCCCTTCCCACACCCAACTCCAGGCATGTTCTCGTGTTTTCCTACAGTAATACTGCTCTCCGCATCCCACCTGCCCAGCCAGGCCAACCCGAGGGACAAGGACGGCTGGAGTCAGAGCCCCAGGCACAGTCAACAGTTACAATCCCGGGTCATGTTGGCAGGTGCTGGGCTGGCGGGAGACCACAGAGTATAGCTGTGGGGTTTCTCAGTGTGCTTATGAGACGGGACAGAGAACAGCTAGCTACAAGGGGCCTGGTCGCCAAGGGGAACATGGCACCGAACTTGCAGTTGGACATATGTGTACACATGAAGTAAGAACGGACAGCAGACACGTTCAGTCTTACGTAAGTTCTTTGGTTGTAAAGAACGGCCTTCTGGAATCTTTTCTGCAAAGAGGGGTTTGCAACCTTGTTCTAGGCAACCCCATCTTTTCCATCTGCTCGTCTAGTGGAGGATTACCTAAGTTGCTGTGTATCCAAGTCCAGTACCTTGTGATTTTCTACAAACCACTTTTATCTGCATTTTCATGTGCAGTCTTGTCTGTCTCCAAACAGACATACATAGATATACATTTCATATACATCATATATATTATTTATAAAAAAAAAAGAGCATTGACTCCAGATTCTACAGTAAGAACTGATTAAAATTCGTTGTACAAGAATAGAGTTTGTTTGACTCTGTGGAGGTTTCTACACAGTGGGTGTGTGTAGTAGTTAAGTGCAAAACAGAAATACTGCCACTTAATTCAATCCGGGATTTTCGGTTCTCTGGCTTTCTGGTAAGGCCGAGGCGGCCGGTTCACCCGAATGACAAAGTGCCGCTGCCCCCAGCTCGGTAGGAGAAAGTAGGTGGCCCACAGAGCACACGGCTTCTCCACGCTGGTCTGAGGTCCCCGGCTGGGCCGCAGCAGGTTTTAAAGACGGTGCTGGTGCTTCCACAGGGCGACCGGAGCAGAGAGGCCGTGGCCTGCGAGGAAGCGTGGGCTGCCTTTCACCAAGCAGTCGTGCTGCCCTAGAAAGCAGAGAGGCTGGTGAGCTCAAGCTCTGGAACCCCCCACCCCCAACTCCACAGACAGAGAGACAGACAGACACACATACACACATACACACACAGGGCCTCCCACCCCTAACACCCACCCACACACGGACACACACACAGGGCCCCCCACCCCTAACACACACACACACACACACACACACACGGCCCCCCTCCCCCAACACAGACACAGGCCTCCCTACCCCCCAACACACACACACACAAGCACAGGGCCTCCCTCCAACTCTAACACGCACACACACACACACACACACAGGGATCACTCAGTGGGACATCACCCACCGCACACAAGGGGCTCTCCCTGAAGGGACCCACAGGATCTGATTCATTATGGAATCCAGTTCTAGGATTTACACTCTACGAGGGAGAAACCTAGCCCGGAGGGGAGGCTTCTAGGAAAAGTAATGACAATAAGACCCAAAGCTAAGGTAAAAAATTGTTATGGCAACTTACTAAAACCCAAGAGTATTAAAACAAAAATACTAAAGCAATTAAAAAAAAAAGAAAGAAAGAAAAGAAAAAGAATTGCCATAATCCCACATGACCCTGATAACCGCAAATATTTTTGTTAAATTCCACTTTTAAAGCAGGATCTTCGGCAGGAAAACACTATTCTAGAGCCTCTGAAAACAAAAATCAGGTACTGTTCCTGTTTGCTGGTTCTAAACAATCGAAGCTATGGAACGAGAGAAGGGACTGTTGCCGCTTCCTACCCTGTGGCCCCAGCTTTTCCCAGTGCAGCCTTCGGACGCCCCGTCACTGCGGCAGAGGGTGGGAACCCAAGCCCCCGCTCCACCCCGTGCTGAAGCAGAACGTCAGGTGAGAGGGCAGCGACCTGGGGCCTTGAATTCTACTCGGTGAGTCGGCTTAGCGGCACTGGAGGGGCACGACTCGGGGACGCCTGGGGGGCTTAGTCGGTTAAGCAACTGCTTTTGGCTCAGGTCATGATCCCAGGGTCCTAGGATCGAGTCCCGGGTCAGGCTCCCTGCTCAGCGGGGAGTCTGCTCCTCCCTCTCCACCTTCTCATACTCTCTCTCAAATAAATCAATAAAATCTTTTAAAAAAGAGAGAGAGAGAGAAGCACTGTTTGAGGTGGAAGAAACAGCCCTTGGACGAGAATTCTTGCAAGAGGGACTGGCAGGCCGATGAGGCCAGCGGGGCAGGCTCGCCTGAAGACCAGGGTAAGGAAGCCGAAGACTTTGAAACCAATGAAAATTCTGTTTCCAAGGACAGTCACGAGTCACTTTACTCTTAGCCTTATGTTGGGGAAAAAGGTCTTTTTTTTTTTTTTTTTTTTTAACTGTAAGGAATCCCTCTGTAGGTTTTTGCAGTGTAGGGAGGAGTGTGCTGTGTAGGTGACACACACAGAAATTTTAAGGGCTGGTATGCAAAGGGAGTAAAGCTTGTGGGGGAAAAGCCACCCAACCAGAATCACTTCCTGAACAAAGCAGAGACCGAATGGCAGCATGATGACCTTCCTAGATTATCTTTCCCCTTCTGTCCAAGCTTTGTTCTGCTCCGCTCTGGAACTCTCATAGCCCTCGCACAGCTGCAGTGGGGGTGTGGGACCAAAATGTTCATCCCGAAGGGGAAGCTCTGGGGAAGAGCCCCCAGAAGCGGGCAATCTCCTATCCACATCGTTTGCTCTTTTCACCAGTACTGTTGGCAAACATGCATTTTGTTCCATTAGTTTAGGAATTAAACTAAAAAATTAAATGATGGAACTATAAAATGCAACCTCATAATAAACCAACCCACTAACTTCCAAAGCCCAAACTTTAACGGCGCTGGGCACCAAGTGACTGTTTTTTCAATCCATTCTGTGATGCGTGCCTGCCCCCCCCCCCTTTTTAATGTGTCTGAAACTGGCACGCGTCTGACAATTACTGGTGTGCTGCAGTTTAATTGGAAGTGTTTTTTGGTAATAATACATAAAACAATGGTTTATCTAAAAATTACAGAAATTACAGATTTGATGAAATAGGATAGATGCGATCTGAATGCCTTGGGACAGCCTGTAATTAAACATCTCTGGGAATGCACAGGAGATTCAATGATCCTTACTCGGCATCGAGCCACAGGCCAGCAAGAAACGCCAGTGGTCTCTGTATTCTGTCGTTGTACTCGGAGCCGGCGGGAGCAGGCGCCCAGCCCCACAGAGCCAGCTGGGCAGCTGAGTGAGCGAGTCTGCTCCCCGCGGGCCCGGCCTCCCTGTCAGCAGCGCTACAGTCCACCTCTCCTACTGTGTCCCGGGGCGAGGCGCCTCTGGGGCTTGGTGCACCATCAGGCAGGCTCACCGACATGGACGACAACGGACGGCCCCTGGAATGTATTACCTGGTCACTCTCTGCTGAGGAATGCAGCTGGGCAGGGTCCTGCGGCCCGTCTGAGATACTCTTCTGGTCCATTTTATTTGGTAGGTTTCTTCTACTCGAAAGCTCTCCAGCAGAAGGATCTGTCAAACCCTCAAAATCTTTGCCATCGGATACACCCATAAACTCTGTGAAAGAATGGTCCTCAAGGATCTTTGTGGTGTGTTCTACGGTCACTTCCCCGGGATAGAACTCTCTGGCTGGCTGGCCATTTCTGCCGGAGCACGCATCTCGTTCCGAACAGGAGCCAGTCCTACAGAGGATTCTGGGATTTTTTTCAGGGATGCTTTGGGGCGATGGGCTCCCTTTGGCTAAGGCACTGTTTTCCTTGAGTGGCACCAAAGTCATCTTCTCTTTCACCAAGCCTCTTTCTAATTCTGTCAAGTCTTTGCTGGACGGTCTAAAATCGTGCGCGAGCGACGGCCCGTAATGCTCACTGGAGTCCGCATCCTTTGTCTGCCCGGCTAGCTGGTCCGAGCTGTCACTGGCAGGGACCGCCATGTCGGACAGCGTGGCATTGGAGGCACTGTGGGAGAAGTACCCGCTGGTAATGCTGCTGGCGGTGGGGCTGCGGGACACTTCTTTCTCCAAGACCCGCGAGTTCATCAAATCGACTTTAGAAGAAAACCACTCCCTGTTCTCCAAGCTGGCGTTGTAAACACTGAAGTCAGCAAACTCCACAGGTACGTAAGGCTGTGAACCTATCAGCTTCCTGTTAAGTGCTTCCAGGTCACTTTCCTCCTCCTCGGAGTCCTGTAGCAATGAAGGTAAAGTCACTCATTAGCGCCTTTCAGGGACTTTATTGTCGAGACAGGTTTCAAATATATTCCCATTAAAGGCATTCACATTCACATGTTTAGCAGTTTTTTTTTTCTCTTTCTTTCTGAGTTTGGTTAAATTTTGTCACCTACTGTGCCTACCAGTACATTATGCTCAGAGATCTGTGAGCATAAACCCACTGTCACCTAACAAGGAGGAGATTTATTTCTTCTGTGCTCACTCAGTGCTGACTGGGATGCTTGCTTCACTGGCTTAGGTGCAGGAGACTTTTAATTAATGTTAATTAATGATGGTGTTCGGTTGTGATGTTTTCCCTTTTGGAATTAAATGAGGAGGGGGGCAGACGGAGGCAGAGAAAAGCCGTTGCTTCATTTGTTCTCACAATCCTCACTTTGGGAAGCCAAGGGCAGGTGAGTAAGGTACTCTGTGGAAGATTTCTGCTATTTTATGGGGGGGAGAAGGCAGCAAAATGAAGACCTCAACAGCAAAAAGAGCAAAGAATGCAATTTCAACACTGGTTCCCAGTGTTATAGGAGACACCATAAGGCTGTGAAATACTAACAGTCTTACCGTTAACACTTTCTAGGGGTTTGGAGAAGCAGGGATAGAGGATTTAGCCAGAAGGTGAGGAAGGTATTGAGACGTCACAGAGTATCTCCGTGTCAAACAGCTTTAGAATTCTGTTTGTAAAGACTGGTAAACCCACACAGAAGGGGGTATTCTCAATGCCCCAGTCAGTCCCTGAATGGATAATTCCTCTGTATGTGGTGGAAAACAGCATGAAGCATAAGGATGTTTTCTGTTCAAATAGAAATAAATGACAAATGGCACCTGGCTGGCTCAGTCAGTAGAGCATGTGGCTCTTGGTCTCGAGGCCATGAGTTCGAGCCCCACCTTGGATGTAGAGCTTACTTAAAAAGAAAAAAAAAAATAGGGGCACCTGGGGGCTCAGTCGGTTAAGCGTCTGCTTTCGGCTTGGGTCATGATCCCAAGGTACTGGGATCAAGCCCCGCTCAGCAGGGAGTCTGCTCTTCTCCTCTTTCCCCCTTGTGCTCTCTCACTATCTCTGTCTCTCTCAAATAAATATATAAAATATTAAAAACAGAAAAAAATGATATTACTATCTAGCCATTTTAATTAACCTCAAAAACATCTGGAGACATTGCAAATATTCCTCTTAAAACATGACTTTCAGGGCGCCTGGGTGGCTCAGTGGGTTAAGCCTCTGCCTTCAGCTCAGGTCATGATCTCAGGGTCCTGGGATCGAGTCTCGCATCGGGCTCTCTGCTCAGCAGGGAGCCTGCTTCCTTCTCTCTCTCTCTCTGCCTGCCTCTCTACCTATCTGTGATCTCTCTCTCTGTCAAGTAAATAAATAAAATCTTTAAAAAAAACAAAAAACAAAAAACATGACTTTCAGTGAGTTCTCATCAGGCATCCACTATATGCCAGTCACTGTTCTAAGAACTGGGAATACCAGTGTGGAGCAAAAACAGCCATGGTCCCCGGGTGTCCCAGCTTTGGGTCCTTGCTCTTAGAACAATCCTGGAGCCTGTCTCGCTGGATGGAAAGTTGATTCAGTAGAGTAACAGGGAGACCGTGAAGACTGGCAACCAAAACATTAACCTCACTCACTAAAGCGTCATTTCAAGAGGCCGAGGAGGAGAGAGAGGCTGGGGAAGGAGAAGAATGTGCTTGAAGGCTATGGCAGACAGCGGTTCACAAGCGAACACCGATTTCATCTACTGAATTTTAGAGTAATAATTTCTTTTGCGTAAGATGTTAACTACCTAATCAATACTTTAATACTCTTTAGCGCTCCTTAGTTTTTAAAATAACTTGAATATACATTATGTAAAAGCATCAGTTGTCTTAATTCCATGGCTATTAATCAAAGGTGAATATTAAGTATCAGTGATAAAAATTCCAGAAACTGGCAAAACAAAATTTTTGGCAACACTAATCTTGCCATCTTATTTTTAGCAACCCTCCACACTAGGGAGCACTGTCAGAAAGGGGGAGGGGGAGAATGTTTGGAAAGGAGCAAAGACTGGACAGAACTGAATCAGTAATTTTGCCTGTATTTTATAGATTCTCTACTTGACGTTTTAGACTCAAAATTGAATTTCTAGTGTTTGCATCCTTACATTTCCTTTTTTTTCTTTTTAAGTAGGCTCCACGCCCAACATGGGGCTTGAACTCACCACCTGAGACCAACAGTCAGAGTAGCATGCTCTCCTGACGGCCAGCCAGGTGCTCCCCTCCCCCTTTTATGTCCTTCTGATTTATGCTGGTAAAGAAATATAATTTCCCAAGACTGGGAGTCTTTGATGTAATTATAGTTACTGTAAATTAGGTGCTCTAAGAAAAACAAAATCTGAATGTGAGAATTCGTAATCTGGAGCTATTTTTATGCCTGGAGGTATTTCTTCTGAAGACTGAGGAAAGGCCTGTTATCCTAAACTACAGCTTTGCTGAATGAAACATTCAGTCATGAGTTTACTGTGTAGAAACAGGCGCGTGCACATTTGTCAAACTTGTGAAGATAAAAAATTATTCCTAAAGGATTAGAAGGAGCTTGGGAAAAACTGAAGAGTCCACAAAAGCCTCAAGAGATTAAGTTCAAATCGGGATCAGCACATAGTTGTGCACTTGGGATGGGACTGGGGGAAGGGGAATAACCCAAAGAGAGAGGCTAGTGGAGTAGGGACAGTAATTCCAGAAAAAAAGAAAACCCGAGTAGAGATGAAACATCTCCCAACATGTAAACAGACTGATGATTTATCAAGTTATTGCCTTCAAGGGGGGGCGGGGGAAGAGCACTTAATTGATTTAAACTGCACCTTAAGGGAATGTGGTTAGATAGAACTCCAGAAATACTCATCATCTGAAAGGAGACTAAGCTTAGCACCTTCCTACTATGTCTTAAGGACACAAAGCATGAGAACCCTAACCCTAGAAGGGAAACATGGAGTCCAGCTCTCCAGCCCCTGTATAGCTACAGTCTTCGTGATTTGGTTTTTGCAATTCGGTTTATGCAACTATTATCTAGAAACAAAACAGCTTGATTTTAAGAAGGGATCCAAACCCTCATGAAAGCAGTGACTTCCTGTAAGGAGTTTCACTTGATTAAAGTGATTTTCATTTCCACTGCAATGGGGACTTGTCCTGCATGGAGACCTTCTCTTTCTGGAAGGACTGGTATCAGCCTAGGCCCCAGCACTTCTGTCCATGGTGCTAGGAGGCCAGCAGCCCTTGTTAGAAACAGCAGTAGGCCAACCGAAACGGCACCATTTTGGGGAGCACCTAAAGTCACTGGGGTCAGCCCAATTCTGTGGAGGGATGGGGCCTTTGTTCTTATGCTCTCAGTAACTGGGAGACCTTGGGCATGCCACTCAAGTTCTTTGTTTCATCTTCTGTAAAACGGAGAAATAAACCATATGCTATCTATGCAAGACTCCAGGGAGAAGTGCTTTCCTTTCTACCCTTCTCTCTGCTTCATGACTTAAAAACAAGATGGACTCCAAAGATGTACTGTTGCCTTTATCTTATTCAAACAAGACACAAAGTATACTTGTGTATCTTCCCAAACTAATGAGACAACAAATGCTGCTTTAAGAATCAAGGGTAGCATTGAACCCATCAAAAACTAAGGATGTACTATATGTTGGCTAAGTGAACATAAGAAAAAATAAAAGAATCAAGAGTAGCTATAGAATACCACATTTTATGTGAAATTGTAAAAAATGATTTCAACCTCCTTTGATCAGACCAAACCACTGATTCACACTCTGATTTTTTAAGAATGGAAAAGGAAGGAGAGTGAATGGAGAACAAAGAAATAAAGAAATAGAAAGAAATAAAGCAGCTTATGTCCATTTGCAAAAGGAGAAATAAAATGAAAACTTCCCGAAAAGAAAGAGAACCTCAGAGCAAACAAGTAATATCATTAAAATCTACCAAAACATCCTGGAAATGGGGCTATCTGAAACAAATCAAACACAGTTTCAGAGATGAAGAGTATTGAGACAGATTTCTTTCTCTTATTTAAAAAAATTTTTTTTGTAGGTTTTTTAATTTAAGCAATTTCTACACCCAAGTTGGGGCTAGAACTCTGCAACCCAGAAATCGAGAGTCACATATCCTTCCAACTGAGCCAGCTGAACACCACTCTCTCTCATTTTTTAAAAAGATTTTGTTTTTGCTGTTGTTTTGAGCCAGATTTCTACGGAGAATCGAGGCAGATCGCTCAAGATTCCAGCAAGAAAGACCAACCCTGCTCAGCAGACTTCAAGGTGTGTTGGATCACACAGAGCCTCCCCACTACCTGAGGGCTGCTGAGTTATGAGAGGCTGGTTCCCTCCTACCCTCTGCTAGCTGAAAGTCCTGAGGTGAGTTTTATTTAAGAACATTACAAGGAAAGTAAATGATGAGGCAAACTCTGTCAACAGGGAAGCCATCTGCCGGGCAGACCCAGTAGGGTCATCCAGCAGTCTCTCGATGGGATGTTCTACAGAAATGTATAGTAACAGAGGAGTAAATTCAGTACTCGTGCAACATGGCGGCAAGTTCCACGTCAACCAACAGGCAGGTCCCATCAGCCAGAGAGCCAGAGTGTTTGAAGGGGTAATAAGCTGCCCACGTAGCCTTTTTAGCCCATGGTGTTGCCTTATAAATTAAGCAAAGGGAAGTCAAGTAAGTGACTTAGCAATTCATTAGGATTCAGAGATACAGGGGTGGCTGCTGACGTTCACCCTCTTCTCCAGCAGGAACTACGAATGGGGACTTGGAATAGAGGGGCCAGGAGAACACAGAGGCAATGGTGGGGAGAGGGACAGAGGTGAGGGAGAAACGGTGCCTTTTCTTTGACCTCAGTGGACAGGAGGAATGAGAAGGTCATTTCTGAGGACCCGCCAGCACTCTAAGCATGCAGACAGCTGGCCGACTGCATAGCCAGGTTCGGTTCCGGTTAGGGTCACACAGTGTGCAGCAGGGCGCATTTTAGAACCATTGGGACCTCACACCAGCGAGTCTTGGGACTGGGTCTGCCACGCTGCAGCTGGGAGAGGAAAGCTCCCGTGCATTGCCTGCAGATCAGACCACACACACACCTAGGAAGCCATGGGAAAGCGAAAGCTGAGACACAAACTAAGACGACTGTTTCCAGGCCCGAGAATACAGGTTTTTTGTTTTTCCTTTTTAACAGAGGTATCTTTGATAACCCAAAGTGCCTGGTATACAGTGTCTTAGAAACTACTTTCTAATCTGTAATTTGAAAACCAAGTGCTGGGGAATGACTTTTACAGGTAGAGTTTCTACCTACCTGTGGCGGAGGTACAGGTAAGCCATCCCAGAAGGAAGACCGATACCAGCGGAGCTGGGCCCTATTTTGCCAGCAAATAAGGATGGGCTCCCTGAGATGGCAAACAGACAGCGGGGGCTACAAGCTACAGAATGAGCTGGGCAAGGGCATCAGGCAACATGGAAAGAGCTTTCAAACACACCCACGGCTCAGTGCACGAGTACTCACTCCAAGTAAGTGCAACTCCTCTAGGTAGATTAACTTCAGAATCTGCTCAGTACGCATGGGCATATCAGAAAGATTCAGAATCAGTGACAGTGACCTCATGGTTATGCTTTTTAAAGACTAGAACCCATGAGAGTGCCTTGTCCCCCTTTCTAAGCAAGTTGCTACTGAGCAAAAAGATAAATAAAACAGAATGAACACTTAGGGAAAAAATATCACAGGTCATGGCCACATTCATGCAAAATTTCATTACCGGTGATCACATTTAAAGAAAAGAAAAAAAAAAAAAAGGCAAAGACCCAGTACATTCTCTTAATGTCTTGTACAGGATTTGGATGATTGTCTGTGAAAGCGCCTTACACCCACCACCAGGCAAGACGACAGACATGGTTCCAGAACTTACAATCTTCCTGTCCCGTTTGCTACTGTGCTCTACGGGCATGCTGCTGCCTTTGCTTCCTGAGGGCACAGTGCAGCCCGGGTTATGTGCCTGACGGGAAGGCATGCTCTGCAAAGGTTAAGACACACAGATGCATCACATACGGAAGACACCGACAGCCGGAACACACAGCACGGACGTGCCGGTTAGGAAAGCAACGCAAACACTGCTAATCCCATGCGCAGGGGCAGTTTGGCAGGCTACGGTCAAACCACCGAGGGACTCTGACGAGACTACACACACGCCACGGCCAATCACACCCTTGGTTTTATTAACGTAAAAATAAGCAAACAAACAAATTAAAAAAACCTGTCGTATTTTCAAAACACCCAGGGAACATCTCTCCCTCTCTCTCTCTCTCTCACTTGGAAGATTTAAAACAAAACAAAACAAAACAAAACAAAACAAAACAAAAAAAAACCCCCCCAAACCCCAAACTCTTCAAAGCCGGAAACACACAGAAAAGAACATCAAGGGCACCACGCAAGAAATCCTGCCATGACCCCATGGGACCCACATGCGTCCACGGGCATGGTTACTGCCCCGTCCCCCGCCAGCCCCCAAACACGATCCTGCTCGCCCCCCCGCCCCCCTACAGAGACCAGCAGCACTTACCTCCTGGCTGAGGAGTGGCCTGGCTTCAAGAGCTATCCTTTTCTTATGCTCCTCTTTCACGGGCATTAAAGGTTTGAAAAACTTTGGTGGCTGGGGAGAGAATGCTTTAAAAGGACTGACTGTTAAGGCGTGGGGGTTCTCTGACGGACAACCTGGGGAAGACAAACAGGCACGGATTGACGGGCACACCAGCAGCACGGTCATCCCCTAGCCACGGGAATATCCAGTTCGACAGAGAAATCAACAAGGCTAATATTTGGCTAAAGACCGAAACCGGTGTGGGCAAGAGTGGAGAGGTGGTGACCGAGTCACAAAGAGTCAGCCAAGGGCGGGGCAGCACGGAAGAAAGCAGAAACTGAAATTTCTACTTCTCTTCAAGATCCGCCCCCCCTCCCCCCAAGAAGTGCTGCCTACGAGACTGATTTCAACTCGTGCTGGTTTTCCGTTGCTCTGAAATCCTGGAGTCTGACCCTTCCATGCACCTGGCCACTCCGTCATTGCAGTATCTTATTTTCTATGTATCTCATTCCACAGTTCCATTTCAGGATCTAGAATGGCACCTTTTTGAATCTTTCACTGTGGACAGCAAGTAGAGGCTCAATAAATATTCAAGGAATGGATACTGTATATGTTTTCTTGCGAGCCCCGTTTTTCCTCAAGCCACCTGCTCCGTCTGACTAAGGAAGAGAAATTCCGCTTTCCTGCTCTGACTCATGTTTTACTTTTAGGGGCCTCTTTCCCTCCTAATGTATTTTCTTCCCAATTCATTGGTACAATGTCGTTTAGTAGGTAAAATATACAGTGCATTGTAACAGCTAATTCATGTTTTTGAAGAATGCTATTCCTTTCAGGGCACCGGCAGATGATACAGTTAGGTAATAATGCTGTCACTGATTGAACTCATTTCTGGTACCATTTTTGAAACTGCTTTAGGAATCAAAAAATTCTTGTAAAAACATCTTTTGAGTACAAAAGCATTACACAGGGTATTCTTTTGGTTAAAAAAAAAACGAAGTTTAACCGTCACATAAGACTTGTGTCTCAAAAGGGACTTCAAATTCAGGAAATGATGTGGGGAAAAATATGATTTGAAAATTGTGAAGTGCTACACAAAAGGCCCAATATTATTATCGGATGATATGCCGACTCCAAAGCAAAAAGAAATGAAATAAGTGAACATGACACATTCTCTTAGACTCATCCAGCGTGTTAGAATTTCAGGTTCCTATCTTATTAAATGCCACCTACAAAAGAACTTCCCCCCATGCTTTCCCTAAGAAATGATAAAGGAAAACAGAAAAACAATCTCACCACTATTTTCTTTACTCCTTCGAGGCGAGTCCCTGGGCAAAGTGCCATAACAGGCTATATCTTGGTAACTGGAACTATAGTCAGACATGTCTAATTGGTTTTCCAGCCAACCCTACAAGGGAAAGATACGGGTTAGCGGTCGTTAAGTCCCTTTAAAATGGGAAGTGAAGCCCAGATTTGAGTTTTTTTCCTATTTTCAAATGCCAGTACCTGTTCTTTCTTTACTTTCATTATACAGTATTTCAAACATCTAGAGAAGTACAAATGGCTGAATAACATGACAACTACGGTCAGACCTAGGGTACAGCTAGAGTGTTAACGTTCATATCCTATTTGTCCAAAGTTTAATAAAATCATTACAAATGGAGTGACTTCCCTTCTGAATCCCTAAGGTCCCAACCACTTTTCTCCCTTCCCCGGCAAAGGGAGCCACCTTGATAAATTTGGTATGTATCTAGGGTGACTGGGTAATTTAGAGACCACAGTGAAATGCTTTTTGGAGTGAGTGGGTTCCATTAATAATTTTGCCTGGGTAGCAGGCATACACTAAGATCGCCCCAGGCAAACCAGACCTGAGATTTAAAAGGATCAAACCGGCATAAGGTATAGGTACTCTAAGGAAAGAAAACTCCCTTTGTGCATCATATAAGCTTATTTAATCTTAAGCAACTTCTCGGGGGTTGGCTGCCTAAAAGACTAGATTTTAAACTTCTTGGTGACATAACCCGCGTTTGTACTCTTTGAATCACTCAGTCCCTTGCCAAGTAACATAAATACGATATATGCTCCAAGCAGTATTTGCCGAGAAAGGTCCTGTGGCAAAATATCCATAATTTAAAATACCTGATTTTCCTAGTTGAATTAAGTCTGATTTTGTGATGGTAGATATAATACTTTTCTGTTTGTTTTTTAAATTCACATATAATGTGTTATTGGTTTCAGAGGAAAAGGTTTGCGAGGTTCACCAGTCTTTATAATACCCAGTGCTCATTACAATGCATACCCTCCCCAATGCCATCACCCAGTTACTCCATTCCCCCCACTCCAGGAACCCTCAGTTGATATAATACTTTCTTAAGTCATTGAGTTAGACCCATGGACACACAGATATTCAATCTGGTGTAGTACTATGCTGGTACGGAAAATGTGCTAGGTTGAGTGTTAACACTGAGTGCCTAGCAATTTCCCATTACGTATTTGAACCTGGAAATGGACACGTGGAGACAATGATCTGCATAAGATTAAGACATGAAGCCCTGAGATTTCAAAAACACCAAGAGCTAACTTTTCAGACTTCGACTCTTCTAGTCATGCCCACACCATAGGTGCACACCTTATCGTCTTCATCAAAGCCAGAAAGGTCTGGTCGACTGGAGGAGACCTGTAAGAGAGCCATGGTTTTATCAAAGTGGTTTATGTATTTAACATAAATTACACAGAAACACAGAAACGTAAGGTCACGTTTACAGTTGAAGCCTGTATGATAGTCTCAACCCCCGATTCTTTCTGCAATCCTCAGGAGTAACAACTGTGCTAAATTTGGGGTTGATCATTCCCATACAGGCTTTGTAGAGTCCTCACATTCACAAAAATGGATTCATACGTAAAAATAGATGCACAAATTATATAGAAATATATACAACAGGTATGCACATGTAATATATATTTTGCATATTTTTATCATTAAAATAAGTGGTATCTCACCATACGTGGTCTTTTTTGTTTCAGAATTTATTTGTTCTATTTTAGATAGATATCTAAGCTGCTTCTAATTTTTCTCTGTTACAAACTCTGGAAATAAGTTATTGTTACTGTCCCTAAATACCACTCTAGCTGTATCCTACGATACAGGCAGGCATACAATACTTGACAGGCATACCATTTCAACATTACTTAGTTCTAAACACATCCTATGTTTCTTTTTTACTCTAACTTATTTATTAGTTTAGGTAATCTCTCTGTCCAACGTGGGGCTCCAAGTCACCACCCCGAGCCTGAGGACCACATGCTCTACTGACTGAGCCAGCCAGCCAGGCGTCTCCTCTAGTGTTTCTACAAGGAGCTCGGGGGGTAACATGGAAGCCTGGAATCTCTGGGCTGGAGTTAAAGCTTATGCACCTTCAACTCTGCTCTTCCATAGCAATTCTGGGGGTAGCTTATGAAATCCTATAAGAAATTATGTTGGGAATTTGTACAGATCAGTTTAGGGAGATGTGCCAATTTTTTGATATATGTGTTCCCATCAAGGAACACAGTCTCTCTCTCCATGAGTTTAGGCTTTATTTATGGCAATAGCTGCATTCAGATTTTCTATTTCTTCTATGATTTGGTTTTTGTAAGAAAATTCCATTTTGGGGGCGCCTGGGTGGCTCAGTGGGTTAAGCCTCTGCCCTTGGCTCAGGTCACAATCTCAGGGTCCTGGGATTAGGCCCCGCATCAGACTCTCTGCTCAGCGGGGAGCCTGTTTCCCATCACCCCCCTTCTGCCTACTTGTGATCTCTGTCAAATAAATACATAAAATCTTTAAAAAAAAATTCCATTTTGTTGAAGCTTTTATACTTACTGCTATAACATTATTCATAGCTTGCTCTTATGCTGTCTAAATCTTTGTCTTCTCTGTAGTGATACATCCCTTTTTATTGTCAATAATATTAGAATCAATATTCCAATATTTTCCTTCCTTCTCCAATTCATCTTAACTAGAAGTCAGTCCGTTTGACCAGTTTTTTCAAAAAGCCCACTTTTCAGCTTTGTTGATTCTATTGTTGGTTTTCTATTCATACACCTCTGTTCTAATCTTCATGCATCTTCTTTGAATTTATTATAATTCTGCTCTAATATTTATTATCTTTAAAAATCTTTTATTCTGATTTTTTTTGACTTAAAAATCTTATCTATAAATACTTCCCTGTGAATCTCTAAAAAATACAGAATCCCTCCTCCCTTTTAAAAAAACCCTAACCACAGGGGTCCCTGGCGGGCTCAGTCGGAAGAACATCCAACTCTTGAGGCATGAGTGAGTTCAAGCCCCACGTTGGATGTAGAGATTACTTAAAAAAATAAAACCTTAAAACAAAAACAAAACCAGAATTATCACTATCGTGGTGTAAAAAGTCAAATGATTCCTAAACAGTATCTGACGGCCCCCGTGTTCAAATGTTTCGGACACACTGTCAGTTAATTCTGAGTCAGGCTGACAACAGTTCACACGTTTTCCTTTTTCTAGGTCATTTGTTCCTCTAGAGCTTCCCCTTGCTAACAGAGTTCCTTTTGTGTCACTCAGCGTTCTCTTCTGTCCCCCGTAAACATGAGCAGTCAGATTCAAAGTCTTGATCAGATGTAAGTCCCCAGGGGACTGGGAGTGAGGACAGAAGCCTCCATTAGGTGGTCCGTCTTTCACTGTTAGCCCAGATGTTTCCCTTGGGGTTTTTTACTCTTTACTACGAGATACATACATCCCTAAGAGTGGCTCTTGTTCTTTCCTTTTCTCTGTCAGCATTCGTCTGTAGAAACAGAGTAATAGGGAACGGAGCCTAGTTTCCTCTCGTACCATTTCAATTGCATCCCACAAGCACTGATGTGTGTACCAGTTTTCATTTTTCAATTCACACCATATGAGTCTCTAATTATCGGTTTCTAAATAATCGCACTGTGGTCAGAAGGAACCTGTATGTACGACTACAGGGATGTGCTGGGACTGGCTTTGTGGCCTGCTGGAAGGCAGTGCATATAAACAGTCACCATGTTTGCAATCGCTGCCCGGAAATTCTCGAGAGCAGCAAGGTAAGGATACTGCGCCCTTCCTGGGCAGGATCCTTTACTCTGCTGCTTCTGGAGAGGAGCCTGCTTTGAAATTGTCTGTGCACTAGTCTGTCCTTTCTTCCCATGACCGTGTCCCCTCCTCGAAAAGCAGTTCCTGTCGACTGGAATTTCTAGATGAACTGGTTGAGAATGACAATCAAACGGCCAACGGAGAGACCACGGACGTGGAGAGCATGGACGTGGGGGTGCCTGCGCCCTATCACACTGCTGGGGGACATAGGAAAATCCATCAGGGCAGCGAGGACAGAGCAGCACGCAGCCAGGACCTGTCGCTGACCCTTCCACCCTTATTATCAGCTACATTCAGTTTACATCTCAAGGACGTGACCTCCTGAAGAGAAATCCGGAAGGCTCAGGTGTGGGACGGTCACTGCGGTCCTGGGTGTGTTTCCCAGGGAGAGAGGAGAGGCTTGCGTGGATGCCCACGCCAGGAACCGTGAGCCCAGGTCCCCTCCCATGCGCACCCCAAGCCCTGAGACATGTCCCGGAAGCAAGAGCCTCGGCAGGGTGCTCACGTTATGAACGTTTGGGGTGCTGAGGCTCCTCCGCAGGTGCCGAGCCTTGGTGGACAGCGCTTCCTTGACCGTGACCGCCTGCAAAGGTCAAAATAACAATTGTTTCTCTCCCCCTGATGACAGACAGTATTATGTTTATTATGGACGGTTTCGAAAATACAGAAAGACCCATCATTTCAAGCCCACGCTCCCTCCCGTAGCTACAGAAGCTGGACTCTTATGGTACCCACTAATTTCTCTTTCCTTAATCTACCAAAAACGCTTTCCATACCTAAAACCAGGAAAACTGCTGAACTAAGAACAGTTATGTGGTAGATTTTTTACAGAGGTAGACAGAGAAAACAGAGAAGAAATAGTCCTCACGAGAGATCTCATTTGCAAAACGACCACCAACTTTTATGATTTGTGTTTTACTCGCGCAGCAATTCCGGCGGGACTTCCGCGAAAGGCAGGTCTTTCGAACCAATGCCGATCTCAGCCCACTATAGTTGCTCTCGACGCACTTTCTATGAACGCACTTTCTGCTTTTTTTTTTTTTTTTTTAGATTTTATTTATTTATTTGACAGAGCGAGATCACAAGTAGGCAGAGAGGCAGGCAGAGAGAGAGAGGAGGAAGCAGGCTCCCTGCCAAGCAGAGAGCCCGATGCGGGACTCGATCCCAGGACCCTGAGATCATGACCTGAGCCGAAGGCAGAGGCCTTAACCCACTGAGCCACCCAGGCGCCCCTTTCTGCTGCTTCTACACATGACAATTCCCGTCTCAGTCTTGCACTGCCTAGTGAGTTAGCTGACTGTCCTGCTATTGTTGCAGAAGTTAACCTGGACCCCCTAAAATTAGGGGAACAGTAAGAGCATGTGGCTAAGCATATGGACACTGGATTCAAGTCTTCCTGGTTTGCCACCGACTTTGTACCAACTTCTTAGCGGTGTAGCCTCAGGCAGGCTAGCTAACTTCTGCTCGCCTCGATTTTCTCACTGACAAAAGGGAATTTTAACAGTGTCTATCTCCATCGAAGGGCCATTTTGAAGATCAAATGAAAGAATGTATCTAAATTACTTGGGCGCTGGGCTTCAGCAGAAGGTGCTGAACAGAACGCAGACATTATTTCCATTTTGCTATTCTGACACAGTAACTACTTTGAGGAGATTGCTACTCTCCTTCTCTGACAGATGCAGAGGGAAGCTGTTTGGTAAATAAATTCATCTTTGTCCACCCAGGGGGGAGGCTGGTGCTCTCGCCCTCTGGTCCAGATGCTGCTGTAACTTGCCTGCCGGAGCCGTTCGAGGCTCAGAATGTTCTCCACCTGCAGCACACCCCGCGTGTACTTCTCTATGTAGGTCTCCCCGTCTGACGTGCCTTCATTCTCACTCCTTGCTGCCATGAGAGCCAGTGTCTCCCGGTCCTCAATCTCTTCTGTTGCCTGAAGGGACAAGAAAACAGTGACAATACTTTTTTTTTTAATTACGATACTTTCACGTGAATAGTATTTTTATCCAAATTGTAGTGAGAAAATGATTTAGAAGTTCTAAGAATTAACACATTCTCCAATATATCTATTTCAGTATTTTAAAAAAGTAATATATATATATATTTACCTTTGGTATATTGGATACTATTTCATAGGTTACACCACAGGAATAAAATATATTCTTCAATGATATTCTCCTCTTCAGACTCTGCGTGAAGCTCTAGTAAGAAAGGAAAGCTGAATCAAGTGATGTGTAATACATTTAAATCATTTGGCATTTTACAAATTGTAGAAGCATAATCAAGTACTATGTTTCTGATACACATAAGATATTCAGAAAAACAGAACTAAAAAATCCTTGTCTCTGGTCCTGGAGGACAGCAGTGTCCATCTGTCATCTGGGGATTAGATGACAGAATCTGTAGTCCATTCGGGGATTTGGGGTCCGTTTTTAAATAACGATTTATTTTTATTATTTTTAAAAAGAATTTATTTTGTTTATTTATGAGAGTGCACGCGAGCACAAGCAGGGGAAGGGGTTGAGGGAGAGGCAGAAGCAGGCTCCTCCATGAGCAGGGAGCCCCATGTGGGACTCGATCCCAGGACCCTGGGATCACGACCTGAGCGAAAGGCAGACGTTTAACTCACTGAGCCACCCAGGCGCCCCTATTTATTTATTTTAGGGAGAAGGACAGAGAGAGCAAGAGAACGTGTGGGCACATAAGCAGGAGGGACAAGAGGAGAGAGAATTTCAAGCAGAGTGGGACGTCAGCTGACTGTGCCACCCAGGCACCCCGTGATCTGACAGGGTTTAATCAGTCTATCCTCACACGGGAGCAAACTGGAGGGTCCATTTTGTTGGCAGCACCTGCAGGATGAGATCTGGGGAAGCAGCAACGATGTATTTTGGGCCTGGCCCTTGTCCTGTTTTGTCACGAACCTGCTTGGACTTGGCACTTAACCTTTTTCAAACAGTGGCATGTCATAGCTCCACTGCCTCTTAGGATTATGGGTGTCAAAGTCAGCCAAGGAGGGACGTCTCTCGTGGGTGACATCTCCCTGTGCTGGCCTCATGCCCCCTCATCGGGGGTCAACAGGAATCGGACTGTAACTTGGCTATGTGGTGACATCTTGCACGCCCACTGTCTCAGCACCACAAAACACGACTTCATGAGAGGGGGAAGGAAGAAACTTCCAGCTCAGGTAGGCAACAGCAGAATCAGGCCCCGTTACTACCTGTTTGTTGTAAATATTGGCCGCAATCCGTTTTCGTAATACTAACTCCATAGCAGCCGGGTGGCTGAGCTGGACCGTGGTCTTCACAATTAGGTAAATCCTTTCGTTCTGCGGCGTGACCCTATTCAGGTGAACGGAATCATGTACTGAGGAGTCCCAGGAGGCTGTGGCTGAAACCTAAGGACAGGAGAAGGGTGGGGGACACGGAAAAGACCCAGCTCAGGGGCTGCGGTTTGACATTACAAACGAGAGCAAGAAGAGACACGCAACCCCACTGAATCATATGTTTCTCCTCCCTTTTTCTGAGCGAAAACACACACCCAACTTTTTCAAGTCCCCAGTCCTCTCCCCCAAAGCAGACCAGAGTGTCTGACGGAAAGACAGGCCCGGAGGCAGGTGCGCTCATCTGACACCCAGGAACGGAATGGTGGGGGTCAATTACCTCCTCATCACTGTGCTTGATGATGGGCAGGTAGAAAAACTGGCTGCCGTGCTCCTTGGGCAGGATGGAGTTCACGCCGGATGCGTGGGGGCCCACGAGCTGCTCGTTGGCACTGAGGTCATCGGCTGGCCAAGTCCGGGGCACAGAAACAGAAGTGGAAGGAAAAGTCATTTTTTAACCAAGCACTGAATTCTTAAAAATATGCTTTCCACAGATGATGTTTACACGTAACGCACTTTCATTTTTTTCTTTTCTTTCTTATCCCACAGTTGGAACAGAGATGCTAGTCCTCACTGTAGGTTTTATCCTTTCCAGAAACCACCGTGAGAGCCAAGAAGGCACCCCATAAGTCTCCAATAAAATGGACAAATATACTCCATATGCAGTCCTAGGAGCAGAGATTTTCACGACAAAAACACAGCTGAGGCTCGGTGGTTAGACTCTGAGGTCAAATTCCTTGTGTAACCTGGTGTCATACTTATGTCCCACCTACACAACTTACACATGATCAGAGATCTGAACAGCTCAATGACCAATCTGGAATCCAAGTTCCAAGCACTTGGGAGAAATATGGAGTTCATCTTCTTCCAAAGCTCTACGCCACTGGGATTCACAAATTTCTCTGCGTGCTCATCCAGCCGTCTCGTGTATCCCTCCAATAACCGGGAGCCCAACACCTCATGAGGCGCATGTCCTACTTCCAGGCTCTTTTTTCCAGGAAGAGCCAAAGTCACCCTCCCTGGGTCTTCCCTCCAAAAGGAAGGTTTCCAGGCTGTGTTTTGAGATTCCGGGGGCTGTGCAAAGAGCCTGCCTGAGCCCGCCCATCCCCCTGCTTGGCAACTCGGCCTCTGTAGGTTCCATTTAAGATTTCATTCTGAAAATGGATTTTCCTGCTGAAATACACGGAGGTCCATCATTCTTGGTAGGTTCAATCCAATCGCTACCACAAAGAACAATGAAGGGTTTACAGTGGAGCCATGTTCTGGCATTGGCGCTACTGGGGAGCAAACAGCACTAATCAGAAATGCAGATTCCCAGGGCCCTGCAAAGCCCAAAGATTCAGAATCTCCAAGGGGGAATTACTTTCTCAGGTAATTCCTATGTCCATTAGCGTCTCCTAACTGGAACCGATTTAATGTTTTTTTGTGTGTAGTTCTTAATCTCTCAGAACTCTCTTTTTAAGACTAAATATCCACTTCTCTCTTCTAGTGATGCTCCACGTCAAGGTTTATACATTTGCTTGGACTAAAAACGTCACCTAGATACAGCGTGTGAGTAATGAGAGAAGTCATTTCAGGAATCAAAAATCAGGTGGGTCTGAAGAGATTCCAAACCTAAGTGACATGTGAGGGCCCCTGGACACTGGGGTCTGCTTACCATTCAAATCAAGGAAGAGAACCGGTATATGAGTTTCCATTCCAGGTGGTGGGACCCTAAATTTAAGAAGAAAATTTAATCATAACAAAATACATGTTTTATATCTTCTTCGATAACTGAACACCACAGAGGTGTGGGAGTGGGAAAGAACCACTGGGGGGGTAGAGATTCTATTCATGAAATATTTGCACATTCCTTTCTTTCTTTTTTAAAAGATTTTATTTGAGAGAGGGAGAGATAGAGTCAGAGAGCATGAGCAGGGGAAAGAACAGTCGGAGAGGGAGAAGCAGACGCCCACTGAGCAGGGATCCCAATGCGGGCCTCGATCCCAGGACCCTGAGATCATGACCTGAGCCGAAGGCAGAGGCTTAACCGACTGAGGCACCCAGGTGCCCCTATTTGCACATCTCTTGATGTCCCTGTTAACACGGGACTTATGAGAATTATGTGACTTCCATAAAGAACTACCAGTTATATAAATCAAATGGAATTAACTGAAACAAAGATTATTTGACAGCTTTTTAGAAATAGTCCTAGTGATGGGAAAAAGGGAAGGGACGCTATTTAAGAGTGGAGACAGGGCACAAGATCAGAACAGAGGAAGTAAACAAAAAAGACAACACTGAAAAAGCTTAAAGCAGGAGAGAATGAAAGACATATCAAAGGAGGAAGGGTTGTTTACGAAAAAGACCAAAGCAGTGTTTTATTAAAAACTGGCCTATATAAATTTGAGTCACCTGGGGGGAGGGGGTGTGTGGTGGCTTTGGAAATGAGAAGTCCTGGGTCCATAACTACTCTTGTGAATCAAAATAACGGGGGACAGGACCCAGGTCTCCACATTTTACAAACAGTCAAGATGACCTGAAGTTTGGAAATGGCGCAAATGAAAGTGACTGGGTAAGGAGAAGGACTGTCTAGACAGGACTTCAGGGAGCAAACAAGACTGGGAATAAGGGGGCGGTTTGCAACCAGGGGGCTGGCAGGCAGATGGCGTGGGTGCCCTATAGGACTTCGGGACAGCGGGAGAATCTGCAAGGGACAAACATCAGGTTTCAAATTATGTGCCAGCAAATTCAGATTTTCTGGTTTCAAAGTATTATCAACTCCATTAGACTTCCCCTTATCATTCATTATGGACACAACACCGCTGACGTTTCCGCGGGTACCCTAAAGAGACTACCTGGGCACGTACACCCTCTGTTACTAGCAGTCTGATTTCTCCTAAATGCCTACGACATATTGTGATAAGAGTGAGAATGAGAATAAGCAGCAGCAGCAGTAGTTACCACCTAACAAAGGGTGTTTTTAAGATATTATCTCTAATCCTTTCAACAGTACCAAACACAAGGCTCCATTTTTTGATTAAGAATAAAGCCTCAGAGGGCGCCTGGGTGGCTCAGTGGGTTAAAGCCTCTGCCTTCGGTTTGGGTCATGATCCCAGGGTCCTGGGATCGAGCCCCACATCGGGCTCTCTGCTCCGCGGAGAGCCTGCTTCCTCCTCTCTCTCTCTCTCTGCCTGCCTCTCTGCCTACTTGTGATCTCTGTCTGTCAGATAAATAAATTAAAAAAAAAAAAATAAAGCCTCAGGGGTGTCTGGGTGGCTCAGAATGAGTTAAGGTCTACATTCAGCTCAGGTCATGATCTCAGGGTCCAGGCTTCGAGACCCTCTCCCTCTGTTCCTCCCCACTGCTCGTGCTCTCTCTCTCTCTCTCTCAAATAAATAAAATCTTAAAAAAAAAAAAAAAGAAGCCTCGGAGAAGTTAACGACATTCAACACTTGAAGAGCTGCAGCTGGAAACTAAATCTGGACTTGGGTGACTCCCGAGCCTGGGGCGCCGTGCCGTCACCGACGCACACCGGGATAGCCGGACCAATCAGCAGACTGACCACAGTTAATTTAGCGCTGGGACCTGACCACGCTAGTGACCAAACTGAAAAAGAAAGCATACTCCAAGAAGAAAGCATGTTTTCTCCCCCTTCAAGTAGACTTTGGAAACACCCTTCTTTTAAGGCAAAATAAGAGAATTTCTGGAGACGAGGAAACCTTGTCCAAGTCGCTTGTTTGGAGAAACTGAGGTGCTCCCCGGCTGCTGGGAGAGGAAGCTGGCTGCCGTGCGGGAGGAAAAGGGGAGGGCAGCATGGGGCATGGCTGGTCTTTCCCTGAGCGGCTCACGACACTCCCCACGGACTGTGCCAGTCCTGCAAAGTCCCTCCATGACTCCGTCAGGCCACTCACCAGTGGGCGGGCGCCCCGGGGACCCCGCTGCCCGGTGCGGGCACCAGCACGGCGTTTCTCTCCTCGGTCAGCCCCACCCACTGCTCCACAAGCCGGGCTTCCCGCTCCACGTCGTCCTCCGTCTTCTCTGCAGGACGAAACGAGGGGATGAGCACCAAGACAGGGGGAAAGACAACTTCCAGACTTATAATAAATGAGTTTTCACTTGGTGACATCCCAAGGGGCTTGACCATCCATGATGTTCTGAAGGAGGATGGGAGGCTTCGAAGTTCCAGCCTGAGCCCAGAGAGGCTCGGGCTCTCACCCGGCGGCCCTCTGGGCCGCGACATGGAAAGAGCATCAGGACGGGGATGAGAACACAGGTTGTTTCCTGGTTCTGTACTCTGGGAAATTATTCGACACCAGTCTGGGCTTCCTGATCAAAGAGGGCCTCTAGTAACCAAGTCCACTCTATTCGCTTGTTGGAAAGATCCAGTGCCATAAAGGACGCGACACTGCTTTATAAAACTCGATACCACCACGCAGAGGATTAAAACATGCCACACACCACTCTGTAAAACTAACTTTATTGTCCTTTACGTTCCTGACGAAAGAGATTGTGTGGAACATATTCTGAAACCCTCTGATTCACAGCTGCGCCCTGGAGCTATCTGCGTGCAATCAGAGTGAGTTTCCACGAGCCGGCTGAGCACCCAGAATGCTGAGCCGAGATGTTTTACTGAGCGGGGAGCTTCTGCTAGCTTCTCCCTGAAACAGATGAACACTCACCACGTGTCCTTTGATGCAGGACCCACCACAATGCACGGATCATCACACCGGGGTGAGACACTACGAGTTTGCAGGACACACGTCTTCCCCGGAGCCTCAGCTGCTGGCAGCATGAGCAAACCAGCAAAACCCCTGCAGCTGCGTGGCCGTGAGGGGAGCTGCAGGCCAGCCTCAGGCCCACCTGTACCCCCCTACAGGAGCTGGGTGCTGACCGGCCACATGGGACCCTAGAGTGGCCGGCAGTCCCAGTCCGGAGCCCGGAATGCCTCACACTGCCGTGTCGGTTCTGACTACATTTGCATTCGTCAGAACAGAATGCAAGTCTAATGTCACAGTTCACGTAGAGGCTTATGAATGTTTCTTACTTTCCAATTCAATACCATGCCGAAAGCATCACGACGATCTGTAATTGCTACGAGGTCAGAACACAAAGACAGTACTGTCCGACCGAGGGGAGAAAACCACCTGCCGTCACTGTCTAGAAGGGGAAAAGCCACTCCCAGGGAAGAGCGTAATCTCACATACCTTTTTTATTGCTGACTTTTTTAATTTGCTCATCTAAGTACTCTCGTCGTTTGATGAGTGCGTCAGACCACCTCTCTCTCACACAGTTTAAGTCTTCTTCCTGACACCGGGGAGGGAAAACATTTTCCTGTAGAATACACAGATGACTATTTCTTTCTTTTTTTTTTAAAACAAAGATGTTTACATGGATCAGGAAAGTTTTCATTAGGAAAGGCCATTGAACACCACTGCGCGATTAATATGCAAGAAAGCAAAGGGGCCTCAGAAACACAGCATGCTGATCGAGGAACCCATTACTCAGAAATCAGAGCCCCTGGATTGCCAAAAGGATAATTACACTCAAAAGCAAGAGAAGCTCAAACTACTCCAGCTGTGGGATGATTCTTACATGGGGTGTGTGTGTGTGTTTCAATCAGAGCTATTCATTTGAAGGACATGTGGGATGATTCTTACATGGGGTGCGTGTGTGTGTATTTCAATCAGAGCTATTCATTTGAAGGATATGTGATTCCAAGCAGAAGGACACCATGAACAGAGCCTAAACCACAGACCAGCAAATGGAATGGAAAAAAGAAAACAGGCATTTTCATAGTTCATCGTTCAATGGCCTCAAAACATGTACTTTCTGAAATGCAAAGAACAGATCAGCAGAGAACCTTTCAAACTGGCTGCAGAGATCTTCCCCCCCGACCACGGCCCTAAGGGTCACCAAAAATCTCCCATGCAAACACCCAGCATGCAGTCAGCCATGCTTGAAGAAGCAGCCATTGGGACTCTCTATGCAACCATGAACAACGTGGCGGGAAGCGCACAGACAGCAGCAAGACATGAGTTAATGGCATGGCTGAGATCCAAGGGGAGACTGGGACGTCCCCTGAAGTTTGTTTACGTTTGCTTGTTTTCTTAGGAGAGTAATGAGGGAAAGAAACCCATCAATTCTACTCAAAATGCTCTCTAACGTGCCTAATTCCAGTCTAACCCTTAAGACGTGACATTAAGCGCAGACGGCAGAGGACTTCTGAGGCTCTATCTACAATGTCCCCACAGTTCACATTCAGGAAGGCACCCGGGGAAACTGTGGAGAATCAGTACAAAGACTGGGGACCGAATCCAGAACACTTCACCTTGATTTCCTGCCTTGCCTGTTCCTATCCTCCCACATTCCATGACAGCAGTCTAGCCAGTGTTGATGAGGTACAAGTTCACAGGTGCCTTTTTAAAAAAAATCTAAATTTCCATAAAGAAAAGGCTGAGACTTAAATTCTCCAAGTTATGGATCATTAAGCTGCGTCCTAATGAGAGAAGAAAGCTGGCTAACCCCAACTAAACTGTGTGCATGAAATGTTTTCCATTTCCTATCCAGCAAGAGACTTTAAACTACAACCCCATATTGGAATAATCCTACTCTCTTGGACATGAGGCACAAAATGTAGTTTTGCATAGAAAAGACAAGGTCTGACTTAAGATTCATGGATGGATAATTCCCCGGTTTTAAAAATCGTTAACTGAATACAGTGATAACGGTCTGCTTCGCAAGTCTTTACAAGCCAATTCGAGACAGCACAGCAGCGAGGCAGTCTGATCACACACTTCGAACGGACAGAGAAATCTGTGGCCAGAGTACTGGATCCCCGATTATGTTTAAAGCAAATCCAAAGCGAGGGAAAGACTGCACATTCTTGCTTGATGGTCCTGCTTCCTCCTCCCTGCCCTCTGCTGTGCGGGTGCTGGCCATGAGCAGTAGCTTGTGCCCCATGCCACAGAAGGACAGCAGCAGTGATACCTGGTAACTATCCATATCACCGCCATCCTCCTCATCTCTCTGGTAGGAAAAAAATAAACACAAAGGACATGCATTTTGTTTCTCGAACAGCACACGGGTAATTCTTTAAGCGTAACACACACATTACAATGGACAGCACACGTATCGCCACCAAAATAAAACATTTACATGAACCGCAAGAAAGGTTTAGTGGATTTATTAATTTACCTGTCTCTAATGAAGAATTTAAGTTTGGTTTTGTTATGTTTTTAATAAAGAAAACCATTAAAAAAAACCAACAACCCGCAAACTCTCTTCACTGGGACTAGGAATCAGCCTCATTGGGCCAGGTCTTACCCTATCGTTATGCATTTCGGGGTGGGTTACCTGAGATGTGGAACGGACTCAGAAAGACAAAATGTCAGAACTAGACTCTACTGCCCAGCCTCTTAGTTTAGCCATGAGGCAGCCAGGGCCCTGAAGGATGAAATGGTTTAAGGTTTAACCCAAGGATCACACAAATCATGGCAGAGTCAGGACTGGAAGTCAGGCTGCTAGTCGCCTCACTCAGCGTCCTTTCCCCCCGCACCACACCACATGCACTGAGGGAATCCTCACAGACAAGAGCCCACTGGGAGCCTGAGTCTAGTCCCAGACAGGGTTCCCCAGCGTACGACTGTCTCAAGAGCACAGCCCGCCATGCTGGGTATTGGATCCGCTGTTGTCCACTACTGATTATGTTAGCATCAAACCAACCAGCTGAGAAAAATGAGAACTGTCTTAAACCCATGGCAAGAGTTTACAATTGTATAAAGTAACAATTTTGGCAAAAAACATTTGGCAAAACAAAATCACCAGGTTGAAAATAAAAGGATTGAGACAGGTTTCCCTAGACAGAAGAATAAAAAAAAATTTCCACTGGTAGGGAATAACCATCTCTAGGGAGGCAGGTTCTATGCAAATGAACACTGGCCCATGTAATAATCCTCTTTCGTTTTTTCCACAGTTATTGGAGGGTTAATATTCAAACAGGCAGTGAAGTGGTCTAGTCATAAAAAGACAAACTTTTTTAAGCGCTTTAAAAATATAATTACGTTACTCTCATATGTAAGTATACTTCACATATACTGCTTTTTGAAAGTGCTCTAAAAATACAGTTAAATGTATTCTCTGTATAGACATCAAAAATCCACTTTTTAAAAAAAAGTTTGGAACACACTGTTATCGTTTGAATAACTAACTTACTAAATGCATGCCTAATATGGAAGTAATTTTTCTTTTTTTCCTTTAAGATTTTATTTTTTAGGTAATCTCTATATGCAACATGGGGTTCAAACTCATGACCCTGAGGTCAAGGGTCCCATGCTCTACTGACTGAGCCAGCCAGATGCCCCCGAAGTAATTTTTCTTGACTTAATCCCCACATTATGGAATAAAGTACAAGTAGCTCAAATTTATCAGTTATTTTTTGGACTAAGGCGATCCTCCAGGCAAAGACTAAGGAGAAGCAGCCTGAGCTTTCATGATGTGTAACTTGTGAAATCAGCATATTCTGGACTGGCATGGGCTATGGCATCAGAACATTTCTGAAGTATTATGTCAACAAAATAAGTTCTGGATGTGACCTTGAGCATGAATGCAAAGAAAATTAAAAGCTTTAAAATAGTCACAGTTTAGGGAGCACCTGGGTGGCTCAGTCAGTTAAGCATCCGACTCTTGATTTCAGCTCAGGTCATGATCTCAGGGTTGTGGGATCGAGCCCCACATCCGGCTCTGTACTCAGCAGGGAGTCTACTCTTCTTCCCCCTCTGCTCTCTCTCTCTCCAAAAATAAATAAATCTTTAAAAAATCTTTATAAAAAAATGAGCCAGTTTTTATATTGATTGTTTTTAAGTAAGCTCCATGCCCAATGTGGAGCTCAACATGGAGCCCAACATGGGGCTTGAACTCACAACCCTGAGATGAGATCAGAGTTGAGATCCAAAGTAGGCCGCCCAACTGACTGAGCCACCCGGGCGCCCTGAAACAGTCACAGTTTAAATCTGCACGACTGGTACTGTGTTCTTTAAAGAGCATTTAGCACTGGGGGAAGCATGAATTTTGACAAAAATCAGTTTTAACTCAGGAGGTAGAGCAGTTTTAAAAGTGCAAATAATCCATCCTCGTAAGGTTCCTCAAACGGGGACGTGTAGTCAGTTGAGGATCCCTGCTTTACCAGTCATGACTTAGGGCTCAAATTCAAAGTTCTAAGATCAGATTATGAAGCCCCCAAATTTTAGTATAGCCTGGGATCTCAGGGAATTATTAAGTCTACTTCATCATTCTGGAGAAGTGAGGAGGGGAACTAGAGGTTTGCATTATCCCAACGAGGTAACCAGGAAGGCCGTGCTAGACTGAAGAATCCAGGTCCCCTTGGCTCTAGGCTGGTGACCTTTCTCCCAGGCCCTGCAGCCACCCCCAAAGCTGACAGCCGAGGGAGGGACTGAGCTGGGATGAGAACCCACACAGCCCAATTGCCCACTCCACACATGAGGAGAAGTCTGGCAGAGAAGTCTCCCCTAAACCAGCAGACTGTCCTCATGCCTTCCTTCCTACTATCCCTGGCTCTGAGAACCAGGTTCAATTCTGGCCTGGGTGGGACAGGAAGGCGGCATTTGACAGAACTATGCCTCCCTAAGGGCTTGTGGGCCAAGCCGGTGTTCCTCCTGGCTTTCAGAAAGTCTTTGCCTGAATGCCAGGGAGTGCAAGGAAACAGAGACAGAAGATGAATCATTCTCAAGATGGGCTGGGCCTCTGCCCAGACTACACAGAGAAACGTCACAACGGGGAGTGCTCCCTCCCTCGTGTGGCAGGGAGGGAGGCAGAGATCGGCGGGCTGATTCCTCCCAGTCCCTAATTCATACCTGACAGTGACCTGGGGGCTCAGTGGGAAGCACATGCCTTCTTTTAGGTCCCTGCAGACAAGTTCCTAATCTTAAAGTTTATTCTCACGGAGCAATGAAGAGCTGGGACTGGTAACATGAACGTCAATTCTTTGATGTTTTCACCTTTCACGGTTTACCAACATTTACTTATTTATTTAAAAAAATAATCTCTACACCCAATATGGGGCTCAAACTCACGACCCCAAGGTCAAGAGTCGCAGGCGCCTCCCACTGCGCCATCCAGGCACACCCCCCGCCCCAATCTTTTAATTTTTTCAAAATGAGAACAGAAGATTTAGTAAAAGAGGACTTAATGGACAAAAAGGATCATGAGGACAACTTTTAATTGAAACATGAAAAAGAAAGCTTTCACAGGACTGTTTAACTCTGCCAGCGTACGGGGGCAGTTTTGTATTCATGAGAGCGGATGGGGCCAGGCGGACATGCCAAATGCCCCCACCTATCTAGAGCCCGCTGGAAAATGGAGTCTGCCAGAAGCAGATGAGTAACACGGACCCATATGCGTGTTTACACATAAAATTATTATTAATCGACGCTAAGCCAGCAGAGTCTTTCAAATCTCATAAAAAAGGCAATGGATGGAAATGTGAAGGGAGGGTGCCGATCGTGAGGTCAAGTCAAGGAGTGCTGTCATATTCCCCAAAGGTCTCCATCCCTGGCCACTGGCTGCCTTCCCTGCATTAACCGGGCCTCGCTGGAGGCTACCTCAATCCGCTGGTCTCACCTGGTAACTGTCCAGCCCTCGCTGCAGCTTGGTGGACCGAGCAGTGACGCAGCCAATGGAGACAGACAGGATGGCCTCGACCATGAGCGGCAGCGTCCCGGAATGCTGCACGGGTTTCACCGTGACCTGTACCCTCCGGGAATGACCCTGCAGAGGGCGGGGGCGTTGGGAGAGGGGCATGACGCGCCAGGGGGCGCCAGGAATGGGACCAGCAAGGAGCGGGGGCAGAGGGTAAAGGAAGGAAGGAGAACCAGGGAACACAGAAGCCCGTAATTAGAAAACGCCCAGAAATGGTGTGCGAGAGTGGGACAACGAGAAAACACGAAACAAACCAAACTGCGCCCAGCACCTGTCTGAGCTGGAAGATGCCTCCCGTGTTGACGTCTTTGGCCTGGTGGAGCTCCACGGACGCGTACTCCCCCAGCTCGTTCAGCTCCAGTATGGAGATCCACATCTCTATTCGCCGTGTCACCTCGTTCCACCTGCAAAACCACGTCCCAGTGAGCGACGACGTCACCGCCCAGCAATGTTATGAGCCGCCATCCCCAGAGCTCTTACTACGGGCTGGGCCTCGTGCTGTCACGTCCGTCTTATTTAACTCTCAAAACAATTGTATGGTAGAAGTCTTTCCTCTTTATTTATTCTTTTCAAGATTTTATTTATTTGACAGACAGAGTCACAAGTAGGCAGAGAAGCAGGCAGAGAGAGAGGAGGAAGCAGGCTCCCTGCTGAGCAGAGAGCCCGATGCGGGGCTCGATCCCAGGACCCTGAGATCATGACCTGAGCTGAAGGCAGAGGCTTTAACCCACTGAGCCACCCAGGTGCCCTCCTCTTTACTTTATTGAGGTAAACGTATATTCAGTGAAATGTCCACATTTCAAATGGAGTTTGATGAGTTGTGAAAAGGCACACACCTCTCACTACCCCACCATCTGCCTCTGAAAGTTTGCTCATGCCCCTTCCCTTTCAATACCGACAGCATCCCACAGCAGCCATATAACCACAAATTAGTTCTGCCTGTTTCAGAAATTCACAGAGAGGGAATCACTAGCGCGTACTCTTTTAGGTCTGATCTTTTTGGTTCAGTGTGATGTTTTTGTGATTCATTCAAATGGGTTTCCACAGTCCTCTTCCTTGTTATCAGATCTGAGTAATATTTGTTACATGACCAGTAGTACCATTTGTTTATCAAATGTTCTCACACGTTTGGGTTGTTGGCAGTGTGGGAATATTACAACAAGAACTGCCACGAACATCTGTGAACAAGTCTATTTATGGACTTATATTTTCATTTTTCTTGGGGAAATAGCCAGGAGTAGACTGCTAGGTCACAGAAGAGGCAGAGGATTGAATTTCCAAGAAAGTATCCTCCTGGGCAGGAAGATGGGCCAAATTCCCAAGAAGAGGAAGCTTGTGGCCAACAGCATCTTCAAAGCTCGACAGAACGAGTTTCTCACTCCGGAGTTGGCTGAGCATGCCTACTCTAGAGCTGAGGTACAAGTTACAGGAACCGGCACAGAAATCATGACCTTGGCCGCCAGGATGTACAAAGCCTTTGGTGAAAAGGGCTGGTGGATCTGAGAGCCGACCGTGGTGGTTCAGCAGATGTCTGACTTCCCCGAGGGCAGTGGAGAGCTTTATGCCAAAAAGCTGGCCACAGGAGGTCTGTGTGCTGTCACCCAGGCCAGGTCTCTGAGTGACCAGCTCCCAGGAGACCCTGCTGTGTGGAGGACCTGCCCCAGTGTACAGTGCTTCATTGTGAAGAGTGGGGCCAAAGAACAGTAAGAACAGTGAGGGCCTGGTGTCCGGGAAACTCCGAGGACAGAGGGCTGTGGCCAGGCTGATGATTGTACTGGGGACCCTATAACCTGCTGCTCAGACAGGGTGTGCCAGGCATCAAAGCAAAGATCATGCTTCCCTGGGACCCAAGGGATAAGACGGGCCCTTAGAGGTCTCTGCGTCACCATGTGAGCACTGGGACCCCAAAGATGAGACACTGCTCACCACCTCCGCCATGGAACAGAAGGGCGGGAAGCTGGAGCAGCTGCCATGCCCAAGCCTGCTCGAGCAGCACAACACAGGCTCCCTGGTAGCTGGACCCGGCGTCCAAGTATTGCTCTATAAAGACTTTTATAAAATCTTCCCAAAAAGGAGGAAAAAAAGGGAAACTATCCTCCTGGTTTTTTTTTCTTTCTATAACGTTTACAGTTTTATTTCACATGGAAGGTTCCGATCCATCTCAAAATACGTTTCATGTATCGTGCAAAGCCAAGGTCAAGGTTGGTTGTGACCTGGGCAGACAGGTGGTTGTTTCCGTCCTGTTTGTTGAAAAGACTCCCCTTCCCGCATCGAACACCCTCCATGCCCGCTAGCTCCTTTTATCGTTCCCATTTCGCCAAGGAGGAGGCAGGCCCGGGGACTCCTCCTCTTACCCTCTGGGCTAGTGCCAGTCTCGAGCCTGCGTCCGCTCAGCCAAGTACACACCTGTCATGCAGCGTCCTCGTCTTCGCATGGAGAGAGTCGACTTCCCAGATGGAGCTGCCGTTCCCGGCACAGCGGTGGCCCCACACCTCAATGGCCAGGGCTCCGTCGGACAGGAACTCCAGGAGCTCCTCCGTCACCGTCACCACATAGTCCTGAGGCAAGAAGGAGCAAGGGAAGGGCAACGAGAGTCACGCACCGAGCGGTCTGCGACATTTCCCTTCTACCTCTCTGTGGGGTAGGGACCTGCTCTGGAGGTGGTTCGTCTGATCCCAACCTGAAAACCACCTGTGCTGCTGCAAAGACCCGGAACCCTGGCTCTTCAGACTGACAAGGAAGAGGGGACTGGACGCAACCCCGTTGTTGAATCAGGACGGACACTGACGGGAGCGTCCTGTCCCGCATCCCTGTGCTTGTGAGGTGCGGAAGCGAGTCTGTGTCCCCCACACCTGGTTCCTTGCCGTTCTGCAAGACCACTCAGACCACCCGCCGCCGCAGACTAATCAGCACATCCCAAAAAAGAACGTCTGATTGCTCCTTGCTATGGCTTGGGAAACTGAGGACAGAATTAAATTTCCTATGATTATCCTCATGATTCTGTGCTCTCGCTCTCAAACACGCCCACCCCAGCTCCTTGTCACTAAATGCAGGCAGAGGAGCGTGAGGAAAAGAAGGCTGAGCAGACGGAGGAGTATGGAAGCACCGGAACAAAGCGGCAGGTGGGGGACCCAGCGGAGTGTCTTTCCAGCAACATCTTAGTGATGTCTCTGGTGAAGGTGATGCTGCGGCTCTCATTTCTGGAAAGATCCGTGCTCTACTGGTTTAACATTCTACTACTTATCTTCTCATTTATTGTATTCGGAGACAGAGCCAGAATTTTAGAAGGAAAACAAACTAATGATCCATTAGGACAATCTATACATCTTACTGATGAAAACACCCCAAAGTCACACAGTGAATCAAGGTCACAGTGACTCCAGGTCTCTGCGACTAGTGTTTGTCAAACCAGTGGTTAATTAGAATGTACTTAAAATTCAGGCTTCATCCTTCCACAGGAATAGCTTTGTGGACCCAAAGAAAGATGGGGACTGCTTAAAAGAGTATTTAGGCAACAATAACCAAAAAATAATAAGGATTTTGAGAAACAGACTTGGTGAATATAGGTGAAAGAAAAAAAAAAAAGTGGATCATTTGTTTTCAGAAAAAGACAGACTCGACAGTCTTTTACCTATGTGAAATCTGATAGGTGTAGAGCCAGAAAGAAAAAGCACAATTTCCAAAGGAAGGGGTCTGGGTACCTGTTAAGGACTGTGCAAGGAAAACCAAAATTACAACAGAAGGTAGCATGTGTCTCTCAGAAACAACCTGTGGGCTGTCTGACGTCAAAACCAGGAAGGGTGGCTGACGGTCACACGAGGGGCCAACCAAAAGCCACCAAAAATTCACCTTGTCTATTGACATTTTCTTTAAAAACTCATATGGTGCATTAGAATGCGATGCTAGGAGTGCTATCCCATATTCCAAAGAATGAGAAGAGGTTCATATACATTAAAGGGTATAATTCTGCAATATACATAACATGACCATATTTTTTGTTAAAAAAAAAAAAAAACTTTCTGAAGATGTTAGGCATGCATGACGGTAAGAGACCGTATCTATGCCCATTGCTGTGTGAACATCACACACAGATAAAAGTCGGAGGGCACAGAAAATAGTTTATCTAAATATGTACAAACCGTCACAAGCCGTTACACCTCTAGGGCCCAAGACTTCAAGGAGAGGCCTTTCAGATTTTATTTTAAACACTTCCCATCTGAATTTGTATTGAAGCATATTTTGAGGTTAAAAAGTGCAACAGACATATTACACTTATTAAACATTCTTGTGGGGGAGCTTCTAAGGTATAAGAAGAGTTCTGAACGGCCACCAGGTCCCTTGTCTCTGTGTAGCCCATCTTGTAACAGCGCCCATACCTTACAGTGAGAGAAGGTCACGGTGTACTGGGCATCCCGGGACTGAGGGGAAGGCACCTCGGGGTCCACCACCGGGGCCGCCACTGTAGATTCACACTGGTCCCAGAATGTGTATTGACAGAAGACAAAATTTGAGAGGTTTAAGGGAAGCCCAGTTGCCTCTTTGATTTTTACCTAAAGAGATAAAAATAAAAAGCAAAATAATTCTGATAAAGACATTACCCGATGCATGCTTCCTTCAAGTACTTCTATTTTAAGAGTCAGAGACGAAATACATAAATTGGTTATTCGTTTGACATCTGAAAACATCTGGCACGTGAAGGGTTCCGCTTATCGTCACGACGGCACATGAGCCCGGGAACAAAAGCACACAGCCTCGCAGATTTTCCTAGTGGCTGAGTTTCTGACACAGATACTACCTTTACTGGAAAAGCACAATTCACTGAACAGTATACACTTCCTGCTCGCCAAAGGCACATGGACTTTTAAAATTTCATCCACTGGCATCAGAAAGCACGCTCTACTTCTGGAGAAAGGACTGCCCGCCGCTGTATTTATGGCCACAAAGCTTAACATTTACTACGCTCTAGGAAAAACTCCCAAGATGTTCTGCCGAACTGCTGTGGATGAATGCAGTCCCTTATGGCGCCCGCCTGCCCATCCCGTCCTCTCACCCGGCAGGTCAGCTTCCTGACTCGGTGGATGACCTCCCCGCTGCTGTCCACGACCTCAAGGCTCCCGCCTTCGCTAGAGTTCTCCGAAGAGTCATCCTCCACCATGCGCTCCGGGACGGTCCCCGTCACGCGCATCACTTCCACGTGGAGACGCCCAGCAACCTGCAGCAGGGAACAGAGCACCTGTGGGTTAACAGGCGTCCCGTGGCACAAGCCTGATGTAGGACAGACAGCACGCCACCAGATCCCCGGGCCACTGCTCCGGGACAGCTCTGGCGACGGGATGCTCACCCCTTCCACAGCCAGCCCGTTCGTTCCATCACCTGCGCGAACAATCACCCTGCCTGACTCGGAGCCAAACTCACCTCTCTGACACCTCCCTTCTAGAGCCATCTTCATTCTCATCCCTCTGTACTGAAGGATGTAAAGGCAGCTACCATGTTCTACCCGGAGTGGTTATCTTACTCCATTCATTTACTCTGCTATCAAACACCTGCCCTGTGGGAATCCTGGGACAAATGGTACAGATATGTGCAGGCTGTCATGGGTTAAATTGATCCAGGAACCAACCGTGTGCTGGAACTGCACGCAGCACGACTTTACAACAGTAAACCAGAAGGCACGGTCGCCCGGCTCCTGGAGCGTCTACTCTCCTGGGAGCAGAGCACGGGTATGGGACTCACGCTGGGAGCAGGGTGGAGGTAGGCTACGTGGTGCGATGAGAGCCACCCCAGGAGGAACGACGAATACAAGGACAAAGTTATAAGGAGACCCTTCCTTTAAAACTGCTCCTCCCACCCCCAAAGGCTTAACATGTCCTCAATATCCTGGTGGTCCTCCGGGTAGGTGCTAGATGAGCAGGGCCCCTCTTGCCGCTGGGTGCACGGTACTGAGTTAAAGGACAAGGATTATCCCGCACTTGGCATCCTCCAGGGCTATAACTGGCCAAGCTGTCTTTCATAACACGGGGTAAGGTTGCAGCGGCTGGAGTTGTGAAGGTGACACGTTCTGCGGGTGCTGCTGTCGTCTTAAATAGTAAGGCTCTTTTTTAAAGGTAGTTGGACCCAACTTCCACTGGCAGCGGAGACCTGAGGAATTCGTCGATGGACTTGAATGAGTGAGACCAACATGGAGGAAGCCGTTAGAGGAGGGGGAATGGGAGAAATCGGTTTGAAGACAATGGTTCTCAGGATTTTTTTTTTCAGTGGTTTTTGAGGATCTACTACATTTTTAGTAAAATTGCAGAGGGATGAAAGACCCACCTAGACCCTGGCATAAGAAGCCCCGACTAAGGGCAGAGTCACTGCACTCCTTTGCCACAAGAGCTATGGCCATTTTTCACATGGGAGAAAGCACCTCCGGCCCGCTGGTCTTCTAGAGCAGAATGTCCCCAGGGCAGGGGGGGGGGGGCTACCACATGCAGCACATGAGCTGTGCAAGTACACAGCCGGGAACCTGGGCTCTGTTTCCTGGCTCACTGTGGGCAGAATGGCATCCCATCCACAGGCTGCCCTAAGGACCACAAGCAATAACTAAGTATTTCAAGTCTGCACGTTATGGAAGGGAAAGCGACGGAACAGCCTTGTTGCTAAATTTAAAATAAAAACATCACTTGATGATAAATGGATAAAAATAAAAAAGTGTGAACCTGACTATTTTCTAAAATGTCTTAGGCCTACACTGAGGTTAATACAAGTAAATAACAGAAATGGGAACCATTTTGTTTTCTAAAAGATGTTAAGCTTGTTTTCCTGGAATACTTTAGCTTTCAAAATAACGCTCCCAAGTTATATCTTGTGAAGACCATGTAGGGGCCGGGGAGGAATTTGAGTATATTACAAACATAAGACATCAAGGGAGATAAACGGGGATGGAGCTGACTCTGGTTTCCCAGGGATTTCTAACTTGATTAAAACAAAGAAAAAAAATTTGTGAACCATAAATTTAAAAAAAAGTTATAATACTCTTACATGATTTTAATCTTATAATCTTAAAAAAAAGATTTAATTTTGATAGTTTCTATTAATAAGAGCAGAGAAGAATGTGATCCTGATTATTCACCGTAGTTTCCTCCGAGGATGGCTTATCCTTACCTCCCCCTGCTGGCTGATGATAGGAACCGCATACTGAAGTTTCACATCATAGAACAGACACTCCAAGAACACATTAGCCACGCCAATTAAGTTGTGATTCTCTTGGGCTTCGTAGAAAGGGTCACCTCGTTTCCCATAGAGACGCTTTGCCTGATGGGTGGGAAGGGGGGCAGTGAGGTAGGGGAGGAGGAAACAAAACACCAACTTGGGTAATATTATTTAAAACTAGCATTTAAAAATGTTTAAAAGAGAAAGCATTTATCCAAAGAAATTAAAAAAGCAAAATTACAATCATGTTACAAAAATAAAATGTAGCATGTGGGAGGGGCTTGATAGCTGGGGGGGCTACATGATGTCCGTGTGGAGAGGTCTTTCTTAGTTACTGCCTCTCTTCCCTCTGGCACCCAGCGTACAGCCTTTTTCACTCCATTCCCTTTGCTTTGCCTCATTTCCCTCACTGAGGGTCCTTTTCCATTACTAATATCCACAGAAACGGACTGTGCTTTCTAGAATTATTCTTTGTAGTCTCCCCAGCCATGACCACAGCTGGGGGAGCATGAACAAATACGAAATCCAAGCTGGTTCCAAACGTGTGGGTTTGTCACATCATTGACCAAAGACTCTGGAATCGCTTTGTTCTATTTCATTTCACCTGAAGTGTAGCAAAAACCCTGCCAACTGAGAATATGTCATGTGCTCTCTTCATTTAGTTCCTGTCCATGTGGACATCGCATGTTCAATGACAAGTTCAATTTAGCCCCCTTTCAAGGTCACTGCTACGTCCTTTTCTAGTATCAATGTCTAAAGCACGACTGTAGCCGTGCTTTACTCGCAGCCATGCATGTGTGCGGTTTTTTTTTTTGTTTTTTTTTTTAGAGAGAGAGAGAGATCACAGGTAGGCAGAGAGGCAGGCAGAGAGAGGGGGAAGCAGGCTCCCAGCTGAGCAGAGAGCCCGACATGGGGCTCGATCCCAGAACCCTGAGATCATGACCTGGGCCGAAGGCAGAGGCTTAACCCACTGAGCCACCCAGGCGCCCCCGCATGTGTGCATTTTGACGGTGAGAGCACTTACGCTCTGCCCTTTCAACATGGTCAAATCTCCTTGACATTTTGCCTCTTTTACCTCAGGAATTTTTTCCTTCCATTCTTGATAAAGGTCTCTCATGTCAATTAATTTATTCTCCAGCTTCTCAATGGTCCAAACTTGGGTGCCCTTTCCTTTCCTCCTCACTTGTATAGCCGGCTCACTCACGATGCCTCCCCTCTGCGGAGTGAAGGGAAACAAAAACACACAACAAACCAAATGAGCCTTGTTTACAGCTTTTTGGATTGTTAAAGCAACAGATGTTATTGTCAAGCAACAAGTTTGAAAAAGATGCATAATGTATCCAGAAAGAAGATGAAATTCTACCCCCTAGGGCATATGCTGGCTTATTTCCAACTAAAATGAAGAAAGACTGATGAAATCTTCTGTGTATACCCCTGCCCATGCTTATTTTAATCATAAGCAGAACCAAACAAAACTGTAAATCTCCTATCCTGATCCTCTCTCCACAGCTTTTATATTATGAACATCTTCCTGTGTTGTTAAATATTCCTCACAGACATGATTTTTTTTCTTTTTAAAAAGATTTTCTTTATTTATTTAAGAGAGAGAAAGAGAGCACGAGCGGGGGGTGGGGAGGGAGAAGCAGGCTCCCCGCTGAGCAGGGAGCCCCACATGGGGCTCAATCCCAGGACCTGGGATCATGACCTGAGCCAAAGGCAGAGGCTTAACCAAGTGAGCCACCCAGGGGCCCCTCATAGACATGAATTTTAATAGCAACATAGAAATCTGTTATTTGGATGTACCATTCATCTGACAAATTATGATGTTGTTCGGCATCACGGCTCTTTCAAATTTTTGCCATTATAAAGGCCATTATGATAAGCATCCTTCTACAAAAAGCACATCAATTTTTAAAAAACTTCTATGATTGTGGACTTAAGACGAATTTCTCAAAGAGCTGCTTGGTCAAAGGAGCAAAATGCAGAAAGATGAATGAAATACTCCCTAACTCATTTCTAGTTTGTTTGCCGGAGGGAAACATAAACAGGCGAAAATTATTTTCTTTTGAAGTTTGTCCTTAAAGGGAAAAAAAAATTCTTCAAGTTGAAATGATGGTAAACTTCCCAGTGACTGCAAAAAGTTGTTCTGTGTATAAAAGAAAGGTACTGGGGCGCCTGGGTGGCTCAGTGGGTTAAAGCCTCTGCCTTTGGCTCAGATCATGATCCCAGGGTCCTGGGATCGAGCCCCACATAGGGATCTCTGCTCAGCAAGGAGCCTGCTTCTCCCTCTCTCTGTCTCTCTGCCTACTTGTGATCTCTGTATGTCAAACAAATAAATAAAATCTTTAAAAAAAAAAAAAAAAGAAAGGTATTATGCAAGTCTTCCTTTCTTACAGAATCCACTCTTAAAAATGGTGCTGTAACAAAACATATACTTATCCCCCATTCCAGAAGGCACCAATAATAGGAAAGAGAAAAGCCAGAGGAATTACTTAAATTTATTTCCAATTTTAACATCTCTGAGGGCATATATACTCCAGGGGGTTGGAGGAGAGTCTACAGAGGAAATCCTTTTTTTTTTTTTTTTTTTTAATTTTTACTATTGAAGCCTAGTTGGTAAACAATGTTATATTAATATAGAGGAAGTCTTGGGGCACCTGGGTGGCTCAGTGGGTTAAGCCTCTGTCTTTGGCTCAGGTCATGATCCCAGGGTTCTGGGATCGAGCCCTGCATCAGGTTCCCTGCTCGGCGGAGAGCCTGCTTTTCCCTCTCTCTCTGCCTACTTGTGATCTCTCTCTCTCTGTCAAATAAATAAGTAAAATCTAAAAAAATTTTAAAAAAATATAGAGGAAGTCTTAAAAAGAATAAATACTCTGGCTCACATCAAAATCTCCTCGTGGATGGTGTTCAGATGTATGTTGTATATGTTCTTTGGATGTTCTTTGGTGTATATTCTATCTTATGGTACATAAGTTACGCATTTTGTTCTCATTTTCTTTAAAAACACTCTTACCTTCCTATTGGCGCTGAGGTTAGCAGCAGGGATCTGCAGAGTCACTTGGTAGTCAGTGAGCTTACTCATCTCCTCAGCTAAGAAGTTTGCCTCCCTCACCAAGGTATTAGCTTTCACGAGCTGCTCGCGCAGCTTTGCCAGGCTTTGACGGAAGAGTTCGTCCCTGCGGGGTAGCGAGCAAGGAAATGAGAAAATCTAAAGAAAAGGAAACTGTAATCCTGGTTCTAAGTGAGTCATATTATTAGAAAGAGGTAGAAAAACTCCTTTCTGGAGATAATTTTCAACTTTTTTTTTTTTTTTAAAGCGGAGGGTTGTTTGGTGTTTTGTTGTTTTTTTTTAATGTTTCCCTCCTCCCACAGGGGTACTGTGGGCTCCCTACTGGCCACCACTGATGAGGAGCAAAATATGTGAAGGGACTTGACTAAAAACCATTATTTTAAATCCTCTAACGCTTGAAAACTGCTAGATTTTGGTACGATGGTGCCAAAAAACCAATAAAGGAATTCTTGAGGGAAGAGAACTCATCATGACTTCTCCTGTTTCTGGGGCTGGGGGAAGGGAAGCAGGGGGAGGCGAGAGAAATCTGGAGTCCATAAGGAGAACACATTTCACACGGTTTCTTCAGTTGATAAAAGGCCAGAAGTGGGGACTTCTGTGGCAGCAGGAATTCAACTTTTTCAACTCCGCACAACAGTGCTTCCTGGTGAGACCTTCCCTAATGTTCTGACTCTGAATATAGGTCAAAACCCTGTTACATGCTGTCCCAGCCCCACGTCTTCTGTCTCAGCGGCATTCGTCCTACTTAGACTCTCTCATTTATTTGTATAATGATTCAAGCTGCAGGCACGCCAGGGCGAGAACCAGGTCTTTTTTTTGTTTGTCATTACACCTAATTCCTGGACAAGTGTGTGGCATACCCCAAAACTGTGAATGAAAGGAAGAGTACTTTTGGGTTCCCCATGAGAATCTGGACTCACAGGTAACCCACACTAACAGAATGCTTATCTAGCCTTATCTAGCTTCTCTCTTCTACCATTTACACGCCTTCTGCCCTTACTTCACAGGACAAGGAGGAGCTTGGAACATCCAATCCCTGCTCCTTTTCTCATCACCATAGAGGTGACACAGGAAGCATACTACAAAGATGTTAATAAAAGTTAACTCCACCCATATGACACACGGATCCCGTCTGCCTGGTTTTACTAAATGATATCACCATTTTTTTTCTTTTCGGTTATCCGAACTTGACTTCTTTCAGCCAGCTCTGTCTTTTCTCTTTTCTACAACATCCAGAAAAAAAGCCTCGTTGATTCTTCCTTGAAATATCTCCTAAATCTCTCTGTTGTTCTCATAGCCCCCGGTTCCTGGTTCACACCCCCCCTCCCCAGCGACCTCACAGCCCCTGGGTTCTCCCTCTTCCCTCCCAGCCACATAACCCCTGCCTTGTCTCAGGTCAATCCTCAGTTCAAAACCTCCTCTGCACCTACAGAACAGCTTTGACTCAGCTTGCTCCCCTCCTCTGTAATCACCTGTTAGGCCAAACAAAAACAGCTCTTATGTAATCCCCCAAACACACCTTCCTCTTTTCCACGGCTTCCCATTTGTCTGTGCCAACCTGCCGGTTCAAAACGTCTGCCACCTCCTGTCTGCCTGTCCAGTCGTCACCCTTCAAACTCACTTGAAGTCCTTCCTTCCCCCATGAACTTGCTGCAGAAGGCTCTATGGAACAGGGTCCTACCCTCCACTAACCACCACGGCCCTTCCTGTGTTCTCTGCCCAGGACCTGCTCATTTATCAGATCGGGAATTTCACACACTCCATACTCACAACGCACCTACCAAAGACACCACTGTTCTGGGCACTTGGGTCATTTCAGGGAATGAGGCTGATTACCTGCTTCCGGAAGTTTCTCTTCAGATCAGCGATGAATGACAAAGGGATAATTATGCAACTGCAACACTGCCTATTGCTGGATGAAACTGTTCTTTAATTTACTATTACGATGTACGTTTCACATATTTGTATCTTGCTCTACACTACACTGTAAATGTCTGGAAAGAATACAGTACATCTCCAGTTTTCTTTGTAATCTCACTAGCTCTGACATATACTCGATTTTCAGCCCCTCAATATTTACTTAGGTATGAGTCCCTCAATATTTCACAAGCCACACCCACATTGATTTAGGTAAGAGTCCCAGCTTCTAATATAATGACCCATCATTGACAACATCTTAATATTATCCAGTGACTCTGGTGAAATCAATATTGCAACCATTCTCCTCTCCTCGGATGACATCCCCAAAATATCATCCTTACTATCCTCCTCCTTCTTCAGAACTTGAGCCTCAAAGAAAATCAATTTGGAATTAAGGTAAGTGGAAACAAAATTTTAACACCTGACCGAAAAATACTATCATTAAAAACAATCTACTTTTTTGGTTGCCTCTTTTTTTGTCTTTTACAGTCTTCAGGACAAAGAGAAGTAATTAGGGAGACTAAGTAGAAAGGTATCAGTGGGTCCAATCACAACAATTACTTCCAAGCCTGCTGTTGCTTAGATGAAAGCCACCAGCTCACAGTGAAGTCAGTGCTTTTTCTGAAGCGCTGTCCTCTCTATCTGATAACCTTCGCCTCTTTTACCCAGGCACAGAAAAAGATGAAGAGTAATGGGTTACAAGCAGGATAAATCTTCAGACTTCTGTAGCCAGACAGGTGAGGGGGCAGCTCCTGGGGAAAATGCCACTGACTCTTTTGTCTTATTTTAGACCAACAGACTGCATTACTACGGCAAGCCTGGTGTGCAGGGTTGGGGTCCCTCATCTCCCTCTTTTCCTCTTAGGGGTCATCTTCCCTGGATGTGGCTCCAGTTCAAGTATCTCATTGCTCGTGAGAGATGCCACAGCGCCCCGGCCCTGGAATCAGACGCCCGAGGCTTTGATCTCAATGGCCCCACCAGCCAGCTCAGTGACTCTGGGAGGCAGCCTCTCAGTTTGCATCCAAAGCCTTAGTATTTTCCCTGCACTTTGACCTGGCAATTCTACTGCTGGGAATCTGTAGTAAGAAGACAAATAATGATGTTCACAGTGATTCGTGCACAAGGTTGTTCTTGGCAGCATTATTTACGAAAGCAAAAATTTTAGTAAGAACTGAGTAACCAACAGTGTGAAACTAGTTCAAAGAATTAGTCTAGGTCATCCAAAAAAATTCAGACTCTAATACAGTACAGTAGTGGTTGTTTAAGGACAGTGAAAATGTTCACAAATGTTAAGTACAAAAAGAATATTGCAAAATATATGTGTCCTGGGTGGCTCAGTGGGTTAAGCCGCTGCCTTCGGCTCGGGTAGTGATCTCGGGGTCCTGGGATGGAGTCCCGCGTCGGGCTCTCTGCTCGGCGGGGAGCCTGCTTCCCTCCCTCTCTCTGCCTGCCTCTCTGTCTACTTGTGATCTCTCTCTGTCAAATAAATAAATAAAATCTTTAAAAAAAAATATATGTGTCTACGTGTATACTAAAAAAATGACTTTGGGGGAAGCAGTCCACGTCTCAGCCTGTTTCCTCACGTGGGAAACGGATGCAAATGATGAACGCAAGTAGCAGTCATGAAGAGGAGATGAATATATGTAAAACACTCAGTGCCTAGACCACGCTCGGTAAACAGCAAATGCCACTTGGTTACGGCTATCATTGTAACAGTGCGGGAATTTGAAAGGGGAACACGGGCAGATCTGGGTTCAAACGCTGGCCTCTTCGCTGGCCAGGCGGGTGATGGGGGAGGACGTGCAAGGTGGGCAGCCAGCTCCGGGACGGACAGACCCACCCCACAGGCCCACTGCTGCAGGGACTGTGAGGACGGCACCACGCCCAGGCTGCGCTGAGAACACCAGGGAATCCACAAATGACGGACTGAACTCAAGGCTGATGCTTCTCCCACCACTACCTCGATTCTGAGACACATACTTAAAAGTCATAAATTCGGAAAATTCGCATTTAGTAGGTATCTTAATGTTACAGTTATATGTAGAGAGACCCCCCAAAATGCTTTTATGCTAGAGGAGCATTCAAACTTTCTCTATTTCGATACCTACCGCTGGCATTGTCACTTGGAGCCATTTCTCCTGAAGGGTGGGGGGAAGGTCCTTAACAACTAACTTTGCAGTAAATATACTGAGGCTGGACAGTAGCTCGGAGAGGAAAAGGTACTCACTAATGACCCACATCTGGGACTAAGACTTCTTCCCTTGCTAGGTTGATCCCCCTTCAGCATGCCCCCCTCAAAGCCCCCAGGCCCCAAGCCGTGACCCTGGGTCCCCAGGGACCCCATGCGTACCTCTCCTCTGCCCACTGAGTCACGTTCTGCTGGGCTGTCTGGCTGCTGTAGGCCAGGCGGTCAGGGCCGCTGCTCGGGGACTGCCGCTCCGGGGACAGCTGCTGGCGGAGCTGCTCCAGCTCCCGCTCGTACATGAGCCGCTGCTCCTCTAGGGCACTCCTCTTCTCCTCCAGGTACTGCTTCTCCAGCACCTGGACCACGTTCTGCACTGGGTCTGGGGAGCCAAGAGACAAGGCGAGGTGTGTTCCGTGATGGCTACGACAGGGCGGCCCGAGGGTGCTGCTTCCAGCAAGAATTCTCTCCCTGCTCCCAATCTAGCCTCTCCAGATGCTTTCTTGTGGCCCGGGGGCCCTGCCAGATCAAATCCTCCCCGCTGCCCTTCTGCTAACACTTCAGATGAACGCCTTCCAGGTACACACTCCCCACATCTACGGGCTTCTTCACTGCAATGAGCTCACTCCCTTGTTTCGACCCATCAGTACTTCACTACAAGCACACGGGAGAGGCGTTGGGCTCTGACCCACTAAGAACTTCAGGACATCTGAGCTTCGAACACAGAGCTACACAAGATTTCATTTTTACAGTAGTCAGTTTGGATGCCCATTTTGCATCAGTTTTAGTATATGGCGATGGGTTTGTATTTCTGATTTTAGCCACAAATCTCATTACTCCCGGATTTCTGTCACGGGGGAGCACATGCTTGGAGATATCAAGTATCTGGCCTGGCAATTTCTCAGGTGCTGGTGTCTGGGAGGGCAATTCACTTGCAAGGAGAAAAGAAAAAGAGAAAAAAGGGGAGGGGGGAAGAATTCACTTGTAAAATCAACAGGCTGTTCTTGACTTTTTGCCTTTGCAGATCAGAAATCGGCTACATACATGGTGAACAAGAAGAGTAATCGGTTGTTCAAAGGGGCCATGACCATGGCCAGCAGTGGTTGTGGTACAGGCAGGGGTCACTGCGGAGGCCGGACATTAGTTTGGTCATGACCGCTGCCCCGGATGCTGTGGGGAAGGTAGGCACTGACCACACGTCCACAGGAGAAAGTTACCAACATCTCTAAGTGAGCACACTGCAGGGGAACAACATGCCAGACATCTGGACGGCGAATAAGAAAACCAGCATCCCCGTAACTATCTCCTTGATGCGCAGGAGACGGGGAGGAGATGCACGGTCTCAGACTGGCCTGGAGCTCACACCTTTGCCTGTTATTCAACTATTGCTATTCGTGCTGTCTTCTCACAGACGGACTCTCAGCTTAATTTCCAGGACAGAGTGGGGAACGGAGAGGACAAGACAAGTTTTTCCATCATGCAATGATGGTTCCTAACTGACTCTTTCAGAAACCCCCATCTATCGACTAAGTTTAAATTTAATTTAAGATTTAAAATTTAAATTTACCATGTAACTTCTACTAATCTTCTATGTAAGCAGTAAAAGAGATAGTATGTTAGCTTAAAAAAAAAGGTTAAATAATACAAAACAAACAGTGGAAAGCAACTCAAAACAAAATCACTAGATATCTACACAGAGTACAGGTGAGTTGTTTTAATAAGAAACGACAACCACAGGGCAATAAGAATTCTACCAGCCACTGGCCTCCACCCAGGTAAGAGGCACTGCGCCCTCCCCATGCACCATCTCATGGCTTTGCAGCACACCTGATGGTGGGTATATTTCTTTTAAAGACGCTGCCCTAAGATCACAGAGCTAGTAAGCGACAGAGCCGGGTTCTGAACTCAGATCAGACCTAACTATCTGGCGGCAGGACATCAAATTTACCAATAAACTGATATAGTATTCTTGTTTCCAGTGTTCTGCTCAGAATTAGTACTCTGTTAAAAAGCAGACATTTTTTTAAAAAATTACTGTTCTTTTCAGGTATAAAATTCTAAAATTCAGCATTTTTTTCAAAGCAGAAATAGTTTTCTTCACAGAGTCCTGACAGGGAGTCCCTAAAATACGCCACCTGAAAATCTGATGGAAAATGAACTCCTAAAAAAATCCCAAAGTCTTAAACACAGACCACAGCGAGGGAAGACCTCTTCTGCAGAGTAAGACATCTGTGTACTCTGAAACATTAGAACTTCTGACCTCGCCATGTAAATTGGTGAAAAGTACACGAATAATAAGGTGAAGGGGTCTGAAGAAATTTTAAATGTAAGGGCTAGAGAAGAAAAGCTGTCTCGGAATTTTATAAAAACGCATGTCTCAAACAGTACATACTTTTCCCCTTTTAGGCTCTAGCTTTAAAAAAAGGACAGGGTCTTCACCAAACATTTATACCTCCATGGAACCTGGTTTTCAAGGGCGCTACCTTAGCGTTCATAAATCTCTTCCAGAGAGAGAAAATTGGAGAATATGCGGTTTTATAAAAATTAATATTCTAAGACTTTTGCTAAAAGCCACTGGGTAAGACATTCAGTCCTCGTTTCCACTTGTTAGTCCATGGTGTGTGGAAACACACATGGTCCCAAATGGCTGAGAGGACTGCACCCCGAGTTTCCATGCAATGCAGATGCCACGTGACCAAGGCTGCTTTCAACTGCCTTGGCAGATGCCATGACTTAACGCCGTGACGTAACGTCACGGGGCTTTGTCAGTGGCCACAGACCAAGAAGCAGATGCAGACGAGGGAACAGCTCAAAGCATCTCTCCCTGGAGCCTCCCACCATACAGTCCGGTCAGCCCTGCCCCGGGGCCCAGGGACAGACCACACTGGACAGAGCCCGAGTCAAGATACAGGAGCTAAGATTTTGTTCTGTCTTACCTGTTTTGAACCTCTGATTTCAACACAAGTCTTTCTCTTACACATATCTGATGATGCTGTCTTTTCAGTTAGCCAGGGTCAAGCCTGGAACACTACACAGCACGGTTTTAAACAGATCGTCCTACTCAGCAGCTCAGCCTGACTCTGTGATGTAGCCTAGGACAGAAGCCAAAGACTTCAGCCTATTCTCAGCCGACCAACCATCAAAACTTGGCCACAGTTTCTTTTTCTCCCCATCATTTTCTTCCTCTTGAACGAAGGGATTTAAAACTCAGTGAGCTTGGAGCCCAAGGCCAAGCCACCAAAGCGGGAGGTGTTTTATAAGAGAGAAAGGACCACATTGACTATGGTATATAGCATGTTCCTCTTTGCTGGTTTATTCTTTATCTGGCATGTAACCATGCTCGGACTTATTTATCTGTCCAGAGAATGGAAAAGAGAGGTGCCAGCGGTAGAGGCCGGAGGGCACTGACAGGGTAAACAATTGGTTTTCATTCACACCCAGGTGCCCGATGCACTAAACCGAAGGGAAGTAAATCCTTCAGGAAAAACAAAAAACAACTCTTAATCCCAGAGGGAATGAACTCAATGACTCTTCACCAGCCCTCCACTGCTCTCTCCTTTACAGCTACCGCGGACTCTCTGAAAACGCACGAGTGCCTCCTTCTCAGTCTGCAGGAAGGACACACTATCGTCCACAGATAACTAGGTTGGCTTCTACTCTTAATTCCAATAAATTGGGTTTTAGATCCTCATTTAGAGATTTGAAGTACAGCATCCTCGTCTCTGGGACGATGCAGGTCAGTCGATAATGTCCAGTACAGAGTCCTGCACCGCTGAGCTCCCAACGGTCACCCCGCCATCAGCACCAACGGCCACCCCGCCATCAGCACCAACGGCCACCCCGCCATCAGCACCAACGGCCACCCCGCCATCAGCACCAGGAGCAGTAATGCCAGTGACACTTCTGGGCTGGCGGCAGCCCAGGGGAAGGACAGGGTCCAGAGCGTAACCAATGGGAAGGCAATGGAGCTGGGACATGGGGAGGCAGGGGCCACGACTTAAAAGGGCGCACGCCTCAATCAGGAGCACGGAGTGCTTGTCAGGTTCGCGGTCGCATTAGTCTGAATTTGCTAGGGCAGAAGCACAAGCATCGGCCAGCAGCACGGCTAACAAGCAGTCAAGCTCTGCCATGCTAACGCCGATCAGTGAAACCTTTATCCCAGCGCTGGTGGAGCAGCTTCGTCTGAAACCACATGAGAGGGAGGAGGATCTTCAAATAGGACCACCAGGGGGATGACCACCAGGCAGACAGGCTGATGATCGGGAAGCCACCTGGCGACAGAGGCGAATTCCATGAACAGGAGCGCCCCCCACCCCCGCCCCGTCCTGCCCCACCCCGCCGTTTGGGGACTGAGTCAGAGCACACTGGAGGGAAGCCCCACTTACACGGGGAATTGGGGAACATGTGTGTGTGTGGGGGGGAAACACTACTTTGAAATCGATGAATCAACACTGGGGCGGGGCAAGGCTTGATCTGGAAGACAAATGGTAACCCACGTTAATACCAGGAGCCAGGCCACCCGTGACTCATTAATTGGTTTGGCTAAGAGGACTGGAGGAATTAACAAACATATACTAATACTCATCAGTGATTCAGGGCTCTAATTATAAGAACATAGTGACAATAAAATTAGGACTCTGTAATATGGGATGATAGATGACTAAACGGATAGCACTTGGATACTCTGCTGTTAGAAAACATCTAGAATTCTGTAATCTCACGTAAAGAGAGAAGGTTCTTCCCAACACGCATTCCTGCACCTGGGGCTTGGGGCCCACACCCTCCTGTCACACCCTGTATCCATTCAGGGCTCCCAAAAATTACTCACAGGAGACTTGCTGCTCAGGCACGTCAGAAAATGGCCCATTAATGTGATTCTGATGTCTGAACACCACTTTGGAATGTCTTTTGTGATTGATTCCTCCCAACTGGGGGGAGCAACTAGCAGGGTGGACCACAGCCTGATTTCTAGCTGTGGCCCAGCCTGTGGTGCAGCGTCCAAAGCCACAGCAGCTAATCTGTCCCCCTAAGCTCACGGACGTTCTTTTCTGGTGGTGTTTGATATTCTCCATATTAAACACATCACACCTGTTTTTCCACCTAGCCTTTTCTTCATACCTCATTTTTATAACTGAGAAGAGGGGATCCTTGGGGCTAAAAACCCAGAGAGATAAAAAGGTCAGCGTCTTTATTCCTACAGTGGAATCCCCAATTTGATATGCCGGAGATCTGACTGACATTCTCCAGCCAAACTCACATTCTTCTCAGATAGGCTGACCCAAAGACGGAGTGCAAAAGTCAATGTATCTGGGGAGAGCCCTGCTGGGAGACCAAGATGCTCTCCCTGCACCGTGTCAGGCAGAGGCTCCTGAGGTCCTCCCAGGTTCAAGGCAGGGATCCTTAGGTATTCAAAGAACTCCTGATTGGGAAAGTGAGATAAAACAAAGTCCAAAAACAAACTTTCTCAGGTGCTCCTGAAGGTAGCCTCAACTATATTTCCCTGTCAGATAGTTCTGGTCCCAGAAATGCAGCCTTGTGCTTGGTAGGAGAGGAACTTCCCTGTCCCGCTGACAAACCAAGAAATGGAAGAGAACTTGCAGACTTCTGTTAACAGGCATCAATGTGGTCTGGATTTTACCAAGTGCATATAAGCGTGTATGAAGAAAAAAGGCTTACCTTTTAGATATAGAGGGAAGAATTTTAATACAAACACTGAAAACTTTCTAGAAAGAGGGAATCTAGAAATAAGGCTTTGGAAATCTCTTCCTTAAAAAGCTGAGACAGGCTGGTGTGTAAGTCAAGCAAAGAGCCTACAAAGCCCTTCTTTGTAGGATCATTTTTGTAAAAGCTACCTGGACTTACTAAGTGAGCTTCTTTGGTGGCATAATTTCCAACTGAGTTTTTAGCAAAATATTGTGACCTTTATCTCCCCATTAAATTCCATTTGAAATTCCTGGGTTCAGACTCTGCTGGGGATTTCTGTGCTCTGAAGGATTCAGAAGGGACAAACTCAGTAATGGAAATTGGAAAAGGAATTCCAACACAATCCTTCTGTACTCTAGGGCTGCAGAAATGTTACCAAAACTGACTTGGGAACAAGGGATCTCAAAACAGGGACCAGCCACTTCCTAATTATAATTGAGGGAGTAGACCAGGCCCTGGGCTACTTTCAGTAGCCCCTCCCCAATGGCCTCTGTAAGAAATGAGCAATTTGGGGCGCCTGGATGGCTCAGTCCATTAAGCATCTGCCTTCAGCTCAGATCATGATCCTGGGGTCCTGGGATGAAGCCCGGTGTCCCTGCTCAGCGGGGAGCCTGCTTCTCCTTCAGCATCACCCCCCACCCACCACTCATACTCTCTGTCACACAAATAAAATGTTAAGAAAAAAAAAAGGAAATTAGTAAGGTTTGTGTCTTAATTTCAGAACGACATCTCCACTTTACCAAGTGCATCCCTGACTGAACTGCATGAAGAGACAGGAGCTACCGAAGACGCCGGGATCCGGAGGTGAGGTCTTACCATTGCTGTTCAGGGTTTTCATGATAACTTCCATCTGTGCAAATTCGTAGTTGTAGTCTGGCTCTGACGAAGCTTCGCTGGCTGCGTCCAGGTCATGCTCCGGGGGGCCTGCCTCCTTTTCAAAGTCTTTCAACCAATCTCGCCGCTTCCTCTTAGGTAAGTTAATTCTAGTTTTCCATCGTTAGAGAAAACGGATTTGTTTTATACTCCGATAACAGAAAGAAAAAGTTCACGAAAATATGAGGGAACACAAAGATGTTACCTAAAGAAGTGGTTATTGCCCCACAGGATCCGATCACCGTGCCACAGCTGGGTGGCGCTGCAGACAAGGGTGCCGTTGACACAGGACCTGATGGAACACGGGCGACAAGTCAGCTCCACGGGAGAGAGCACACAACCCGGCCCCAGGAGCCAAAGAGAGAAATGGGCAAGTTTCTCTGGACAGATATATTCTACTGGGGTGCCTGGGTGGCTCAGTGGGTTAAGCCTCCGCCTTCAGCTCAGGTCATGATCTCAAGGTCCTGGGATCGAGCCCCACGTGGGGCTATCTGCTCAGCAGGGAGCCTGCTTCCCCCTCTCTCAGATCTCTCTCTCTGTGTCAAATAAATAAATAAAATCTTTAAAAAACAAACAAACCACTAAACAGATGTGTTCTACTAATTCCTAAAGAGAGAATAATAGAATTGTAAGCACTATCAAAGCACGTGATCTGAGCAATGATGACCAAGAGCCCCCAATAGCCCTCACAGACGACGTGGAGGCATGATGTCCTCCTGATGGAAACAGACATGAGAATGCCTACGGAATGCTCTTGTCCAGATCTGGGCAGAACCTGATTGGGCTTTTATATCTAAATACCAATTTAGGAACTGCGGAAGGTGGTGGAAGATGGTACGTGACACCATGGTATGCAACGAGCAAGATGGCGAGTGTGGAAAACAGCCAGGTATCATCAACAAATAAATGCAAGGAAAAGTGGGGCGGGCGGCGGGGAGGAGAAGAGGGAGTGGAATCTGCATGCTAATAGAGACACAACAGCCGATGACAAGGGTTGAATCTTATTTGATCCTGATTTCAAGAAACAGCTGAAAAGGAACATTTATGACACCACGGGGGAAATCTGAATACTGGCTCAGTATATGAACAGCAGTAAGGAATTATTTGTAATTATTTTAGGTGTGACGGTACAGAAGCAAAGTTCAAGAACACTTGTCTTTTAGAGATACAAGTTAAGATATTTACGGATAAAGTTGTATCTGGAATTTGCTTTAAAATAATGCAGAGGGGAGGGAGGTGATGTGGAGGGTGTATAAATAAAACCAGGACGGCAAAGTGTCCACTTTTGAAGCCGGATGATGGATATATGGGGGCTCGTTACACTCTTCTTTCCACTTCCTACATCTGATGCTCTCCATAATAAAAACAGGGAGAACATGAAAAGAGGACCAGGTTTAAATCCCAAATAGCTACCCAACAAACTGTAAAAACAAGACAAACAACTGGAGATGGGGGAAACAACCCCGAGTCTCTGCTTTCCAGCACATCCCATGCGGCAGATGGCGTGCACTGTGTCTCCGGGCTGGCGCTGGCTTCCGTGTCTGTGATCGTCTCAAGCAAATCCTGAAGCCCCAGCTCTTCCCCATCTCGCAGCTTCGCTACAGCTTCCTGGCTACAAGGGACTAGGAATCCAGTGGCTGTGGATAACTCACTCTAACAGACCTCACAGGATTTCCCGACAATCAGAAGATCTCGTCAACGGATTCTTTAACACAGTCAAAGCCCTGCCACTGGGACTTCTCTTAGGGGGAGAGGAAAAGTCCTCCAGAACTTTTAGTGCCAATAACTGTAGTCTTCTTATAAATGCTTTCTTCATTTAATAAAAGAGATTTTGCTGGTATTAAAACAATCAGGAAAAGAATTAACTAAAGTTTAATTGGCTAAAGAGCTGTCAGGTGAAGTTTGACGGAGAAATATAGTGATTAATCTTCTGAGTTTTAGTTGTTCAATACGTTACTTTTCTCACAGAATCCATTATCTGGCTCCTAATCTTTACAGGACTCTGCAGCTCAGACTTACGGAGTAAGGAGAGCGCACACGTGAAAATAAACCCTCTGCGGTAGTCATATTTCAAGTTTAGGGAATAAGTTTTTTTGTTGATTAAAAAAAAAACCCTGGCAATACCATCATCTCAAATGGTTTTCATCTGTCATACATTAACACGATAAACTTCAGTGTCTATCTTTTAAACTAACATGTTCCCTTTATTCTTGTCAATGAGAATGACTCTCGACGCTAACTCAAGCTTCAAAGGTCTGTGTCCATCTATTTGGAATTATGGACTCATTTATTCCTCTGCAAAATGTGGAAAATGAGATCAGAATATATATGTATATCTATACAAATATATGTATTTTTGCCAGAAGGATGATGAAAAGTTGTTTTTTGGGTGAAAACTAATACTTACCTCTTTGACCTAAAAAACAAACATTCATTACTTGAAACAAATGTTTCAAGGAAAACATTTGCTTAGTTTATGAAGGTATCTAAATAATATATCTAGGTGTATAGATAGATAGATGGGTATCTAGACATCCAGACATATCTAATGAATCTATAATCTAATATCCAGGAATAGCAGTATGAAGAAGAGAAATGTGTTCCTCAGTGTCCTTTATTATTTTAAACTCTGAATTATAATTTAAAAATTCAGTTCCTCATTTTCATTAGCCGTATTTCGATACCCAAGAACACTGCCTCACTAGTGGCTGCCGAAATGGTCTTAGCAGACACAGAACCTTCCTGTTATCTCAGAAAGTTCTACTGGGCAGTATTATTGTAGAATAAAACTAAAAACAGTTCCAGAGCAAATGAGAAATGACTATAATAATCTTTGCCTTTTTATGTATTGCTAATTTCTGTGATCATCTGTATCTTTGAGGGAACCTTCTAGAGGTGTGTGCATGCGTGTACACACACACGTGCACACACCCACACAAACTTCTGAACACACATATAAACATCACTTTGCCATTTATAGTATGCTCTTACTACAATACTATAAAGAAAAAGTTATGGAAACTGCCTGTTTTGGTAATGTATCCAAGATAAGAAATTAGCATAAGAAGTAATTTCCAAGTGGACATGTGCCTGGGGTACTTGTCAAGAAGCAAGTACAAAATGTGCTTGCCACAATTCATGTCCTGTCACCCAGGCCACGAGACTCCTATGGAGAACCTACTCCTGACGCTGAGCCCACCTGTGGAACCACACATGACTCCAGGAGGCGAAGTTATCAGCAGATACGACCCACAGGCAGGCTGAAGCCCCAACAACCCCAGAGATAGAATTTTTAAACAAAGACGATAAAATAAGTAAAAATCTAATTCTTAAAGGCACAAGACTCTCTCAATACAGACCAGGCCTACCGAAAAAAGGGCTTTCTAAACTTCTATAAATGGAAAACAGAGACACTGAAATTAAACACTCAATGCGATGGTTAAGCAGCTGATAAGACGTGACCAGAGAGCGAACGCACGGACTTGAAGACAGACCTGAAGACACAATGACTCTGCCTTAACCCCAAGTCCCTCTCTCGCTCTGTCTCCAATCCAGTGCCCATCTTTACAACCACGGCTCTCAGCCCGCTTCCTCACCCCCATTCTCTCCTCCTTGCATTTGTTCCTTCTATAACCATAACTCCATGGTTCCTAAACGTCCCAAGGCTGCTACATCCAACAGAAGCTTGTGAATCTCTATTCTGACCTCTTCTTCCTTACAGTGTTAGTGTTCTCCTCCCTTGGCTTTCATCGTCTTAACTTTGGCTCTCTGACTCTCCTGAGACGATCCCTAAAACACTAGTTTATTGCTTCCACTACACCCTCTGGATCCACTCTGAAGACAGACAACACCACTAACGGCCGATTCTGTATTGTTAAGTGTAACTCTATAACCCTAAATCCAATTCCAACTGGATCCATCCACACTGATACCCCAAGGACACCTCAAATCCACAGGATTCCAACCTGAATCCATTACCACTCATTACCCACCAACCTCCAAGCCTGTCCTTCCTCTAGTATTCCTTATTTCGGCTTAGGATCGCCACTGTTTATGTAGTCTCCCAAGACAGAACTGTGTAACCATTGCTGACTTCACCTTCTCGTTTACTGTCCCCAAGCACATCACTAATGCTGGCTGACTCTCAAATACATTTTGTTCTTCACTTCTTCTGCCACTTGCTGTGTTCCCATGACAATATCATAATAATATCTTACCAGAGCTCCCTACCTCCAGTCCTGCAACCCCACACATTTCCATAGTGATCAGATCTGCAGGAAGAAGCTCTTATCATCCCATATAATCACTGTTGCTTCTGTACATTCTCCCCTACCAGGCTTCCAATCCCTACACGGCATTCCCAGCACAGAGCCTGTAGTGAAGAATCCTGAATGAAGGCACTTTTACCCCAGGGAGAGGAAAGGAGGAGACTGGGCAGGATGAGGGAGGGCAAAGAGCAGGAACAAAAACGTGTCACTGGAAATGGATATGAGGAAATTTGCTGATTAAAGTTATTTTTAGATACGGTGTTAAAAAGAGAGTATGATCCAATCATACTGTACACTTTAAATATATGCAATTTTGTCGATTAAAAACCAGGGTATTAGAAAAATCCAGAGTTTCTAATATAGGGGAATACAGCGTAAGGCAGAAGTCTACTTGAACTTGGAATAAGTAAAAATTAAGGAATAGCATCATTTCACCATTAGATATCTTAACAATTCTATCACTGTAACACAAGACCTAATAATTTTCATGAATCATGTAAGTCATCATTGTTAGTCTGTCATCACCTGGAAATTGATATGGATAGTATTAATAGAATACTTTGAAATGAATGTAAAGTTCCCCTCATAAAAATGAGTATTCTGGTCACAATGTTTGTGTGTTAATGAATATTGTGACACGACTTCACATGAACTTTATACTTGACTGTAAAGTACTTTAAGGCAGTATTTAATAGAAATCCAAAAGGAAATATACTGTCCTGTCAATTCTCCAATTTTTGCATATTATAGCCGGGTTTAGGAATTTTTCATACAATGGAGTTATGTGATAACTGCTTTATGTACAATGTTGGACGCTGAGTTAACGACTAACTTTATTCAGTGTTTGCGTGTGTCAGGCACCGAGCCAAGTGACTTCTGTCTTGCCTATGTTTAGCCCTGAGTTTCACGTAAGGAAACTGAAGTTTAGACAAAAGTGTCTCATCGAAGGTAACTCAGCCAGTCCAGGAACACTGAGACACCCCAAAGCTGGCGCTCCAAGTGCTGCCATACGGCCCCCCGCAATAGAAAAGAATATCCCCAAGATCCCAGCGATGTCTTAACTCTGATATAACTGAGCCGACAGACAGAAAGGGGCAGTCCGCTCCTTCGGAAAACCAGGCTCAAGATATGTGAGGCGGACATTTACTTCTCTTACCTTGCATTTTCTTTCGGAGTAAGAGTAACATCGCCGTCAGACGCAATATCTATCTCACAGTGCTCCGCCTGAATTCCTATCCCAAACAGCTGGATGTCCTGGGACGTATCTGCGCCCACCCTCGTGTGGTCCTAGTGATGGAGAGTGGAAGAAAGAGAAAAAAACCTGCTCTTACAAGTAACTCGAGGCAAATTTATCTCCATCGATCTGAGGAACCCAACGGCATCTGCATGACAATATTAAATGAATCAGATGGGAGAGCAAGATATCTGGAGCATTACAGGGCCAAAGCTTACCTTAATACACTACATTTTAAAAATATTTAAACACTATGAAGAAAACAACCAACAGTGATTAGATACGGTTTTACGATATAAGGAAATCGGACTTGACAGGAGACTATCTTGAGATCCCATGTTAACCTGACAGCTTACTATTTACGTGCCCATGGGCATGCCACTTCACAGGCTGAGCCTGGCTGCCTCCCTCCTTCCCCCCTCCTCCTCCTTTTCCCCCCAAAACCAGGACAATATCAGCAACTTGAACTACTTAGTAGGATTCTTTCAAGGACCACCTGAGTGGACAGTGAAAATGTTCTGAAAATAGCTGTATGAATTCAAGAACCACTAACAGTAGATGCATGGAAAATCATATTTCTAAACATATAACTTTTAAAATGATATAAGTGGGGCGCCTGGGTGGCTTGGTTAAGCGTCTGCCTTCGGCTCAGGCCAGGATCTCAGGATCCTGGAATCGAGCCCCATGTTAGGCTCCCTGCTCAGCAGAGAGTCTGTTTCTCCCTCTGTCTCTGCTCCTCCCCCTGCTCATGTTCTCTAATAAGTAAAACCTTAAAAAGTAAAAATAAAAAATAAAATGATGAAAGTAGTTGAGTTCTGAATACCAGTATTACAGAGCACTGTAGCTTGTGGGTTACAGAATGTGCAGATGAGCATGATTTCAAGTACCTCAAACCCCAGACATATGAGGACTTGTCACTCCCACAATGCGGTCCACAGCTCATCCCTTTGTATTTTCTATTGCTCTAAAAATCACTGAGTCACAACAGTAATATTTCCCTATTCAACAGAAAGCCTTGATCTTTCAAAATTAGGATTTTGGACACAATTCCTTATGCCTTAATCATGTCCTAAATGAAAAGAACTTAATTCCATTAGTGGACTCTGAGTAAATCAGGGGCTATTTGTACCAGATTTATGTCTCTGGGAAAAAAGGAGAATAAAAAGGATAATAGAAAACAGCCTCTTCTCTTCAATTCTAGCTTATTTTCCATTGCGTTTTTATGTTCACTCCAGGCAGATCAGAATCCTTAACTAAGCACCTATTTATTTTTCAGCAAGTGGGTAATACCTCTGCATTTAGAGACTAAGGTATGTGGACAGTTAGATCAGCTGCCTTCAAGTTCCCAGGTCTCCAATCCTTGAGAGTTATTTAAATACTGCCCCATAGGGGAGGAGGGTCGGGAGAGGGCAGTGGGGTTATAGACACTGGGGAGGGTATGTGCTAGGGTGAGTGCTGTGAAGTGTGTAAACCTGGTGATTCACAGACCTGTACCCCTAGGGTTAATAATACATTATATGTTTATAAAAAATAAAAAAAAAAGACATAACAAAAAAATTACTGCCCCATATATTTCTATATATTCATAAATTCTATATATTCATATATTTCTATATATATTTCTATACCACCATAACTCAGGAACTGTGTGTATATGTGGGTTCATGCTAAAAATCCCCTATGTCTTTTGGGGTGCCCCGTATCAGTGTCCATCAGGTGCCTGACTTCAGACAGATGTCTTATTTCTCACTTAACAAAATAAGCCAGCATTTCCAAAAGTGTGGTCTGACAGAGAAAGATAAACACCATATGACTTTGCTTTATGTGGAATCAAAAAAAGACAACAAGCAAACAAAGAAAAAGCAGAAACAGACCCATAAACATAGAGAGCAAACGGACAGTCGCCAGAGGGGAGGTTTCATTCTCAACGGCAACCAGACCGCACTACCCATCCTCTTACCTTTAATGGGTGCTGAGCTGGACACAAAGAGCAAAATCATGGGTACAGGCCCAGATTCTAATGGGAGCTGTACGTGAATGAATCAGGACTGCGACTGTCTATTTATATGCTCTCCTACCTTCAAATAATAAACCAGAAGTTCGTTGAGAGCAGGGTCTGCGTTCAGGTTGACTAAGTAGCACTTGTCATCCCCGACCTTGATACCCGATGTCTCCAGGGAAATCCCCATACTTTCAAGTTGTCGTTGTCTCTCCTGGGCACAAAAACAGACAAAACCGGGGAACTCTATTTGTTGCTCTAGCCACAAGAGGTATCCATGGAAAGTTTCGGTCACTGTTTCTGGGGCGGATGCCAAAGAAATGACACATTCCAACCACATTTACGGAATGTCTTAAGTGTGTGACATCATGAGTCAGGGTGCTATGGGGGTGCTATGGGGAAACCAGACACCACTGTGCCTATACGGGGTTTACAGTCTGGGGAGGGGATAAGACCACACACCTCAATCAGAAGAGGAAGGATGGAGAAGAACACTGGAGAGGAACAACGTACTATAGGGCTTCCAAGGAAGGAGACAGTGGATGGGTTCAGGGACCAGAGAAGGCTTCAGAAAAGGATATATTTGAGATGTTTCTTGCAGTAGAAGAATTTTACAGGAAGAAAAGGGGCAGTAGTAAGGCAGGAGGAGGTTGTTCTAACGGAAGGCACAGGAAGGCGCAGGAGAAATCTGGGCACACTGTAGGATTTCAGGTGCCGAGAACCCTACTCAATGTGGAAATGCCATGGAAGAGACGGGGATGGAACAGCAGGTTGGTTCCTGACTGCACAGGGCCTTGAATCCATCCATCCATCCATCCATCCATCCATCCATCCATCCATCCAGGAGATATTTAAGTCTTAGGTACTGATCTAGGACTAGAAATAGAATAGTTAACAAAGTCCCTTCACTTGTGAAAACTTGTGTTCTAGTAGAAAGAGGCAGACCATGAAAAACAGACATGTAAAATACAGAATTTGCAGCGGTGATGACGAAGCACAGAGCAATGGACAAGACACAGGGAGTCAGGTGTGGGGGGGGTGGCGTGAGTGAGTGCATGTGTGTATGTGAATGACCTATGAGAAGGCTTGACTAGGTCCCGGTTCCTGCTTTCAAGCTCCCTCACTGGGACGGTCCAGTATGCCCCGGTGGTCCGTGAGATGAAAACAGTCACAAAAGGCATCGTGTAGATTCATGAAACGCACACACCAGCACAGCATTAGTCCTTGCCTTACATCGGATCTCACGTGAAGTTCGTGCAGCATTTTCTCACAAGCCCAAGGAATCAAATACAATGAAAAAAACGATGATGTGCTGTAAGTTATAAATTCTCTGCCAGTCAGGGATGTCGAATGCTGTGCCAGGTGATCCCAGACCACGACACGGAAAAGCAGGACACATGCACAGTGTTTCCTGCAGAGCACGTCTGCTCCAACTCAGTGCTCTCGGCACTTCTGGCAAACACATGGCCCCGATGGCGGTTAATGAAAGATGACGAAGTCGGCCTCTAACCCCGACCTTTGTGGTCTCGTTTAGCACAAAGAGGTCCTTACGTGACTTTTTGAGGATGATGAGTGGCTACACAGAAAAGACGGCAAATGAAAAAAAAAAGTCACAAGGTTTTAGGCCTGAATTATCAAGCTACCTGTGCGATTTCTTCTGTTTTCCTCAGCTTCTCTTCCCAAGTCACTGTTAGCTCTTTGATCAGCTTTTCAGACTCCTCGAGCTTCTCTTTCAGTTCAGGGGCCTTCATAGCCTTGGAAAGGAAACCAGAGATAGCTGATTTTCTAATTTTTCCCACCATTATTTACAAAACAATCCCTTACTGTCCTTCTAAGTGGCTATCCACAGTCCACTGGAAGCAACTAAGTCATACGGCATCAGGGTGGGCTTTAGATCTTTATTAATTAAAAGAAGTGTAGGAATAAAGGACTGCTACTCTTTAAAGGAGAAAATGAAACCAGTGCCCTGAATTAAACTGATACAAATCGTTACAGAGTAATTTTATCCACCATACTTAAATTTCACATTTAAAGATCTTTTTTTTTTTTTTTTCTTCTTAAAGTAGGCTCCATGCCCAACATGGGGCTTGAACTCACAACCCTGGGATTAAGAATCGCCTGATCTACCAACGAAGCCAGCCAGGCGCCCTTCATATCTGAAGACCTAAAAGATGCTAACGTTCGTTGTCAACATAGAAACATAGGGAAAAAGAGGAACTGCGAGACAGAGATCAACACACACCACCAAAAACACATCCCAGAGAGAACCTACCAGGAAAAGTGAAGAAGAATTCTTCTCATTCATTTTAAAATTTGCCTCTGAATCACTTAAAACTATTTATCTTATTGGTGGTAATAAACTTTGCGTAGTCATCACTCCCTTAAAAACAGGACTTCTGGGCTAAAGGGGAGCAATTTCCCTCTGAGGTAGCTCAGTGAGAATAACTAAGGGTCCGGGTACAGATTTGTACATGCCGCTCAAATACTTTGGGGCTCGTACTTGCCAACAACACACTTCCACACCCTACAGCAAGAGGAGCCTCTGCAAAGCATAAGCCCACAAACAGCAAAGACGGCAGACTCGGACAAGGAATCCAAGTGACGATGACGTGTACGGTCCCTGCGGTTTCAGAGTCTCACAGTGCTAAATGTGGCTGAGAGTGACATTCAGTGCTGGGGACAAGGAGACACCCAGGAGAGCTCTATCTCGGTGAACCTTCTGCGGCCCCTCTTCTGGGGTATGGTTCTAGCTGTCCGGCCCAGATTACTGGTCACGGTGGAAAAGCAGATTCAGAGACAAGAGGAAAGAAGTAGCTCATTCACCTCTACACGAATTTCAGAACTGCCACACCTGCCTCCCAGGATCATGACTCTCTTAAAAGTTTATCAGTGTTTTGATTTTTCAGGTGTTTTGCTACCATTCTTGGCGTCCCTAAAAGATGATGCTCGATGCACTGAGCGATTGTGATCGTGACAGTAATGGAAACTAGAACATTTGCTGAGCCTCACAAAGCTGCCAGGCACCACGCTAAGTGCCCTCCGGTATCAGTGCTGCCCTAGGGGTTAGGGACGAACACGATCGAGATGACAAGGCTTCCGATGCTTCAGAAGCCGACGGCTGGAACGGCTACAGTACAGCTCCACCATCACCCACAAACAGACTGTTCAGATCCCTGGCTCTGACTCCTTTCTGCCCGTTTATCTCAATCTCTTACTGACTACTTTCTTGACTAGATACAGTGACAGATAGACAGCCTGGTACAAAGTGCTCAAAAAATAGTATCTATCACCCTTTCCTCCTACAGCTTAATACTGGCCTGACCATGGGGCGCCTGGGTGGCTCAGTGGGTTAAAGCCTCTGCCTTCAGCTCAGGTCATGATCTCAGGGTCCTGGGATCAAGCCCCACATCAGGCTCTCTGCTCTGCGGGGAGCCTGCTTCCTCCTCTCTCTCTGCCTGCCTCTCTGCCTACTTGTGATCTCTGTCTGTCAAATAAATAAAATCTTAAAAAAAAAAAAATACTGTCCTGACCAAAGAGAGTTCTAAGCAGGTGGTATGAAGGAATGTGACCTCAGCAGCCCTAGGTATGCACCCAAATGAGGCACGGGCCAGCACGCGACGAAAGCCCAGGCACCTGGCCTTCGTTTCAGTCCTATTACCTATTTCAAACAAGAGCGTGCCTCAGCCAGCAGCTTACTACAAGAAAGTGACTTAGAAGAGCGTGTGTTTATTCAAGCTGGGTAAAAGCCAACGGAACACAGTAACCATAAGAAATGACCCATTTTGTTTCCTGCCAGGAGCTGATACACATTTAAAAAAAAAAAAAAGGGAGATTTCTGAATTGTTCCTAACATTTATCTGTCTTCCCTGACTTAAGGAAGAGATGATATATAACCAACTAATCTGAAAATTATAAGGCCTATGGGTGCATAATTTACACTGTTAATAAAAACAGGGCGCCTGGGTGGCTCAGTTGGTTAAGCCACTGCCTTCGGCTCAGGTCATGATCCTGGAGTTCCGGGATCGAGTCCCACATCAGGCTCCTAACTCCTTGGGGAGTCTGCTTCTCCCTCTGACCTTCTCCCCTCTCATGCTTTCTCTCTCTCTCTCTCTCTCTCAAACAAATAAATAAAATCTTAAAAAAATAAAAAATAATAAAAACAACACATCTGGGGCGCCTGGGTGGCTCGGTCAGTTAAGCATCTGACTCTTGATTTCAGCTCGGGTCATGATCTCAGGGTCCTGGGACTGAGCCCCGTGTCAGGCTCCACACTCAGCAGGGAGTCTGCTTGAGATTCTCTCTTCCTCTGCCTCGGCCTCTCCCACTACTCTCACTCTCTCTCTAAAATGAATAAGCAAATCTTTAAAAGATAAAATAAAATAAAAACGACATATTTGGTCCTTCCGGTTTCACGCTGGGTGAGATCTGCAGCTGATGGCCGACTGGTCGACTGAAGCCAACAGCAAGCCAGCAACAGCTCCGCTCTGACTCATCCGCTCCCTCAGCGGCCGGCTGAGCTCCTGGGACAGAAGCCTGGTATGACTCAGGCTGTCCACACCACGCTTAGCATGCAGAAGCAGCCAATCAACACAGAGATGCTGAATGGCATGGAGATGACCCAAACCCGCAGGCCAAGGACACCCTTCCCTGCTCCAGTACCACCAGCCAGGGACGCGCAGAGACGGGGAGCCCCGGGCTGGTCTTACCTCGGCCTGTGAGAGCTGCTCCTTCAGCTTCTCTACTTCCTCGCGCAGCTCCCGGATGACCTTGGCATTGGGGTCCTCGTTCACGACGGCATGGTTAACGATCCTTTTGGCTCGATCTGCGTATCGTAAGGTGGAGAGGGTCTCTTCATAGTTGTCTGCTGCTGGGCTGATGGTGGCTATCATAGAGGTCTGGCTGTTGCCTCCCAAATTGTCCTGCAAAATATTTCCAGTAGCATCTTAGGAAGCGAGCCCCATTCTGTGCACAACACGCAGGATGAAAGCTGAAAACACGCGTGAGTGACGACATTCTCTGTGCGCAAAGAGATGTGTTGTGGAAATGGGTTTGGATACCACAAATAATTTTATGCCAAGGGGTGGTTTCTCAATAGTCACAACCCAGTGCCTGTCAAGCAGCAGCACTACGCTGGGGTAAGGAGGGCAAGACAGGCGCATTTTCACTCTGCATTCCCGGGAATGAGGAACAAGGCGTTGTCGGGGGCGGCTGCGTATTTGGCTAGCTCTGCACACACCTTTCCGCTGCCAGCTCTGAAACTGGCAAGTTTTCGTTGGAAAGGAACGCTGCAACAACGAATTACCTTAAGAAGCCAAGTGAGGACTGAATCTCGGTAAGGCACAAACTTGTTTTTACCCTTGCCAGCCGCCTGGTCAGCCAGCGAGGATATAACCAACCCCAAGGTTGTAAGGGATCTGCCGAAAAAAAAATTTTTTTTAATTAACTTTATAGAATATTTACATTGTTTCCATAAAATAATAATCATTTCAGGGAATAAGTATAAAATATGCAGAACAAGGCCCTCAAGTTGATACAATCAAGTGTATGTTAATTTGTCAAGAAGCTGAGACAGAAACAAAAAAGTATCTCCATTCATTTAAAAGAATGAATTTAAAATCCCTGTACACACACCTATGACACAGACATTTCAGTACCTGGAAACACACATTTAATAATCAATCCAGAGACTTGTAATGGACTCCGAATATTACGTTGGGATTCTGAACCATTTATTCTTTGGGGCTAATCTGGACCATCTGGGCCTCTCATTTTGTGGTCCACTGTAACCACGTAATTTGAAGAGAACTTTTCTCTGCAAGTTACAAGGTATATTCTGCTCATCTGCTAAAGCTGGCAAGCTTATTTCACACCTCAATGTGGAGTTTGTACAACTGCACGAACAAAGACCCACCCAAGCAGAGGACAGCATATGGCTACTCTTTCAACACCTGCTACACAAAGCAGCACTGGGATCCCCTGAGAGCTGCTCAGAAACACTGACTCTTGGAAGCCTCCCCACGCCTACAGAGTCAGAACCAGTTAAGGATATTTCCAGGTGATTCACAGGCACATTAAATTTTAAGAAGCCCTGGTTGAACAATGCCCAAAGTGACACATGGATTTAGCTGCCTAGGCCCATGATTCTCAAAACGTGGTGCTGGGACCAGCAGCACCAGCAAGACTTGGGACCTTGTTACAAATGCACATTCTCAGGCCCCACCACACCCCCCCTAACCTACCGACTCAGACACTTGTAGTGGGACCTACTACTCAGTGCTTTAACCAGCCCTCCAGGTGATTCTGGTGCAGGCTGGAGCCTGAGAACCACTGGCTTAAGCTCATGAGTGTTCCCTGGTACTTAATACATGTTTTCTGCACCAGAGAAAAGAGCACCATAGAAACAACAGATCTGTGAAACTGAGGGATGAAGGACACCCTTCTGTGTCACGGCTGAGTGCCAAGTGCACTTTCAATAGGAAAGCAGAGTTTAGCATGAAAGACTAGTTTTCTTTTTAATGTTAACAATAGACTTCCAAGAAATGAGTTGAAAGAAAGCATGTTTCTCACAAAACATAATCTTAAAGGTGAGTCATTTGAAAAATCACTGGAATACAAAGGCAAAATCAAGGGGGTAGAAAACGAGCCAGAATTTTAAATGACAGCCATTCCTGCAAAGTGACATAAATATGTACAATACAACTGACAGATTCACAAGTTGAATCCACCCCCAAAGGAACTGAAAATATTTGCCCACACAAAACCGTGTACATGAATTTTCATAGCAGTGTTAGTCACAACGGCCAGAATATAGAAACCACCCAAGTGTCTGTCCATCAAATTGATGAAGGGACGAATAAAATGTGGTGTGTCCTCACAATGGAATATTATTCAGCCAAAGAGAGGATTCTGATATAACCTACAACATGAATAAACCCTGAAAAATTGTGGTAAGTGAAAGAAGCCAAACACCAAAGGCCAATGTCCTGGATTGAAGAGTGTCTACCCAAAATTCGTGTCCACCAGAACCTCAGATATATTCTTATTTGAAAACAGGGTCCCTGCAGATGTAATTAGTTAAGATGAGATCATACGGGCTGAAGGAGGGCTGTAATCTGCCGACTGGTGCCTTATAAGAAGGCCACGTGAAGAAGACATCCAGGCAACAGGGGAGAGGCCATGTGAAAAGAGAGGCAGAGATGGGAGCAATGCATCTACAAACCAAGGAAGGTCAAGGAGCTTTAGCAACCACTAGAAGGTAGGAGAGAGGCATGAAACGGATTGTCCCTCTGAGCCACAAGAAGGAAAAAACCTGGCCAACCCCTTGATTTTGGATTTGTGGCTTCCAGAACTTTCTATTGTTGTAAGCCACCCAGTCTGTGGTAATCTGTTACCACACTGGGAAACTAATACAGCTACCTATTGATGCCATTTATACGAAACACCCAGAAGAGCTGAAATCTGTAGAGATGAAGGTAGTGGTTGTCCAGGGCTGGGGGTGGTATGACTGGGGAATGACATGGACACAAGCTTACTTTGGGGATGATGAAAATGTTTTCAGATTAGATTGTGGCAATGGTTATACACTCCGAACATAATAAAGCTGCTAAACTGTACATTTTAAAATGGTAAAGGATGTGTATGTGAACTATTTCTCATTATAGTTGTTTAAAAAAATTCAAGTTCAATCACTCCATCAGTCCTCCCGAAGGTAACAAATTTAAGAAAGAAAATGGTAAAAATAAATTATTCAGACTACATCAAAATGAAAAGTTTCTGCATGAAGAAGGAAACAGTCAACCAAACTAAAAGGCAACCTACTGAATATAAGAAAATAGTTGCAAATGACATATTCAATAAGGAGCCAAAACAACACCCAAAGACAAATAATCCAATTAAAAATGGGCAGAAGACATGAAAAGACATTTCTCTGAAGACACACAGATGGCCAACAGACACATGAAAAGATGCTCAGCATCAGTCATCTTCAAGGAAATGCAAATCAAAACTACAATGAGGTATCACCTCACACCTGTCAGAATGGCTAAAAGTCAAGAAACAAGCATTGGTGAGGATGTGGAGAAAAAGGAAGCCTCTCACACCGTTGGTGGGAATGCAAGCTGGTGCAACCACTGTGGAAAACAGAAGGGAGGTTCCTCAAAAAATTAAAAATAGAATTATCCTACTACCCAGTAATTACCCTAATGGATATTTACCCTCAAAATCCACATGCACCCCCATGTTTATCACAGTATTACTTATAATAGCCTAATTATGGAAGTAGCCCAATTTATCCAGCCCATTTATCCAGATAAATGGATACAAAGAATATATACACAGTGGAATATTACTCAACCATAAAAAAGAATGAAATCATGGCATTTCCAACATCATGGATAGAACTAGAAAGTATAATGTGAAGCGAAATAACTCAAAGAAATACGAATACCGTATGATTTCACTCATGTGGAATTCAGGAAACAAGACGAGCAAAGGAAAAAAAGAGAGAGAGAGAGACAGACAGACAGACACAAACCAATAAGCAAACTCTTAACTCTAGAGAACAAATTGATGGTCACGAGGTGGGAGGGGGTTGGTGGCATGGGAACTAAAGAGTACACTTATGATGAAATAAAATTATATTTAAAAAGTAAGAAAATGGGGGCGCCTGGGTGGGTCAGTGGGTTAAGCCTCTGCTTTCCGCTCAGGTCATGATCTCAGGGTCCTGGGATCGAGCCCCGCATCAGGCTCTCTGCTCAGCAGGGAACTGCTTCCCTCTCTCTCTCCGCCTGCCTCTCTGCCTACTTGTGATCTCTCTCTCTCTCTGTCAAATAAATAAATAATTTCTTTTTTTAAAAAAAGTAAGAAAATGGCATATGATATATATGAAATAGAAGAAGATAGGAATTCAATGTTAATGCAAAATCACATTTCTGCTTATAGAATATAGGGCATTGTTCACATCTTGCAACTCCTGAAATAAAATTTTCAGTTGAAAACAATTCTTCAAACTGTATCAGTTTTTAGTACTTAAAAACAGCAGAAATCACTTTAACTCATACAGACTATAAAAAGCTCCACGACGCCAAGGTCAATAACCAGCAATTCTCAAGTGAACAGTGCCCTTTATGTGCAAACCCATTCTGGGCTGGTCACGTATTTTTCATCACTGAGGAGACAAGATCTGACTTTGGTGGCAACTGCTCCTATTTTCTAATTCGAAAGGGAGAGTTCCTGGCACTCCTAAGCAAGACACAAAAAAATTAAATGAGGGCTTTGAGACAAAAAGAGAAAGGGCAGCACAGCGTCATCACTGCCCACGACACCACGTGCACGCTGCCTCAGGACACGCCCTTAGCACGTCCAGCACGTCAGCACGTCCAGCAGGTCCAGCACGTGAGCCACAGGGGAGGGGCGGGGCAGGGCAGACATGATCACGTGACTCTGGGGCTGGCCAGGCATGGTCACGTGACTCTGTTTCCTGCGTGCTGCGTTATGTAACTGAACCATTTAGGGAAGCTTATCACTAGTAGAAGGCTTTTACCTGATGGTGTGCACACGTTCAAAACAAGGCCTCTGTCTCAACTTGCTGTCCCCTTGGAACAAACCTGCAGGGTGAGGAGGCTTCCACGGTGGGTGGGAGGTAACCAGGTCACCCAGTGACCAGGGAGCCATGATGCCATCCCTCCCTGCGACCTTCCACCCGGGAGCAGTGATGCAGGGGCTTGCGGAATCTCAAAAACCGCGTGTGAAAACTGAACAGTGGGTTTACGTATTTTAACATAACTTCATTCCTAGGGAGCTTAAGAATATAACGAAATCACAAATTATGGATCCTGCTACTGCTGTCTTCTCATGCTGGAGGCAAATGGGCAGCTCACAGGTTTCCAGGACAGGGTGGGGCTGTCTGCCCATCTGAGGGGCTGAAAAAATTGTCCCAGGAACCTTTCTCTTCTACCAAAGTACAGCTCTTCCCTGAACCTAAGGGAGGTGGAGATAGTAAGGCAGCTGCTAACCTTCGGGCAAGTTCTTGGGCTGGGGTGGTGGGCATGGAGTAAATGGGGAGGACAGAAGGATTAGGCTAGGGGATAACGTTTATGAACAGAGAGCCATGTTTTAACATTGAAATTTTAAAAATCTACCTATCTACTATAAGAGAGAATTTGACATTAAGAAAGTTAAGAAAACTAGGAGGATCAAAAACAAAATAAAAGCAGCTCTAATAAGTACAATCAATGAGAAAAATATTGTCATAACTTTTTTTTCCCCCTTTTCTACATCTTCCTCCAACCTCCAGTTTCCCTTGAAACTCTAACCACCAGATTCCTTCCCTTAGGAGTGGATATCAGGTGATGTCAGTTATCTATATTATCCGGGATGGCTTTCAAATATATTATTTTACCTATTTACTAGTGAT